TAGTGAGATGGGCAGGAATGTTTGTTGTGGTGTTACAAGGGTTTTCAGAGTTGTGTGATATGGAGGCGTAGACCAGAGTGGCTTGAATAGGAACTGAATCTCTGCAGCCCTCCCGCCCTCCCTCCCTCCCTCTCACCCTCCTCACCTCCCTGTCGCCCCCCTCCTTTCTTTCTGACCTCCCTCTCTCAGACATCCCAGGAGGCTTCAGTGTGTCAGGAGGAGGAGCCAAGTGAGGGAGGAGACCTACACCTCACTTGCATAGCCAATAAGCACCTGTACACCAAGTTGTCATGGCAACTGGTGACTGACACAGCAGAGGCCACACCCCCGAACCCCTCCCTGGGTGGTGAACTGTCTTCAGGAGAGTTCTCTGACACTCTGTGTCTGTTGCTTAGCAACCTGACGGCGGGGGATTCTGGAACCTACTACTGCTTCGCCCATCACCTGCTGAAGGGACAGAACACACACCTGGACACACAGGTGGACATTACAGGTAAGCCCTCTAACCTCTGACCTCTCACACATGATCACTCTGATCATCACCATCATCATCATCATCATTATCATCATTACTATAACACATTCACACATCCATTGGCAAACAGGGTCATAGACACACATAAAATATCATTTCAACTCAGCAGAAAATAAATCTACATTGCCTATATGGCCCTTTCCATTGTATGGAGATACACCATTCACCACCTGGTATATACATAAACCCTCACGTTTCGCACACAAGGACACACACACACACACACACAGTGTCAGATCAGTGCTTGGGAACTGGGTCCTGTAGTTTCCTGGGGCCCCTCCCTGCCTCAGTCTTTCTTTCACGTGGGAATGCTCCCTCGTCAGGAGGAAGAGGACACAATGGCACTTCCCACAATGCCACATTTACAGGCCCCTTCACAGGGCCAGAGGAACAATCAGCCAATCAGACACTGTCAGACCACAAACTCACAGACAATCATCAATTGTTGTCCAGGAGGAAGATATGGGAAACAACAGTCACTCCTGTGTTACTTAAGTCCCTTTTATTCATGTCTTTTACTGCTGCTGCTGCTCACAATCAAACCTCAACACATACACTTCCTCTGAAAGAACCCATGTGCTTTTTACTAGAGAGAGACGGAGAGAGAGAGAAGGAGAGAAGGAGAGAATACGAAGGATAGAGAGAGAGAGAGGGAAAGAGAGAGAGAGATACTACTCTAATATAGATAGATAGAGAGACTCGAGAGAGTCGAGAGCATAGACGAGCAGAGATAGAGAACTAGAGCTCTCGAGAAATCTCTCTCTCGCTCTCTCCTCTCTCTCTCTCTCCTCTCTCTCTCTCTCTCTTCTCTCTCACTCTCGTCCTCTCCTCTCTCTCGCTCCTCGCTCTCTCCTCTCTCTCTCTCTCTCGCTCGCTTGTTTGTTCCCTCTCCTCCCCTTGCCGTCTTTTGTATTCTAGTTTGTGTAATGTTACAATTTGTGCCATTATGACTAATGGTCAATGGTCTATTAACAGCCCTGATGATGAATGATACATTGTTTTGGTCAGTGGGAAAATAGGTATTTTAAGGTTACTACTACAAACCCAAGAGGGACCCACATCAGCTGATGTGAAGTTGAACTTAAGGCCACACACACATACACACATGCACATAGACCACACACATACACACATACACACATACACACATAGACACATAGACACATAGACACATAGACACATAGACACATAGACACATAGACACATACACACATACACACATAGACACATTCACACAAAGACACATACACACATAGACACATCCAGAAATGTGTCACTAACACACACACAGCGTGGCAGGGGTCCAGGGGTCCAGGGGTCCAGGGGTCCAGGGTCCAGGGGTCCAGGGGGTCCAGGGGTCCAGGGGTCCAGGAGTCCAGGGGTCCAGGGGTCCAGGGTCCAGGGGTCCAGGGTCCAGGGGTCCAGGGGTCCAGGGGGTCCAGGGTCCAGGGGTCCAGGGGGTCCAGGGTCCAGGAGTCCAGGGGTCCAGGAGTACCAGGGGTCCAGGGGTCCAGGGTCCCAGGGGTCCATGGTTCCAGGAGTCCAGGGGTCCAGTGTCCAGGGGTCCAGGGTCCAGGAGTCCAGGGGTCCAGGGTCCAGGGTCCAGGGGTCCAGGGGTCCAGGGGTCCAGGGGTCCAGGGTCCAGGGGTCCAGGGGTCCAGGGTCCAGGGGTCCAGGGGTCCAGGGGTCCAGGGGTCCAGGGGTCCAGGGTCCAGGGGTCCAGGGGTCCAGGGTCCAGGGGTCCAGGTCCAGGGGTCCAGGGGTCCAGGGTCCAGGGGTCCAGTAGTCCAGGGGTCCAGGGGTCCAGGGTCCAGGGTCCAGGAGGCCAGGTCCAGGGCCGGGGTCCAGGGTCCACCAGGGTCCAGGGGTCCAGGTTCCAGGATCCAGGGGTCAGGGGTTCCAGGGGTCCTTAAGGGTCCATGGGTCCAGGGTCAGGAGTCCAGGGGTCCAGGGTCCCTCCAGGGCCAGACGGATGTCAAATATCCCTCCTTTGGATTTGCAGAGATAGAGAAGGAAAAAACAACACTGATTCTATTCACAGGACTACTGTATGACTTCTGAATGTGATGCAATGACGACCTCTGTTCTCATGGACCTTGGCCATTTGGTTATTAAGAACACACACATCTCCTCACACACACACAAACACACACACAACTCCACACACAAACACACACACACACACAACTCCTCACACAAACACACCCACACACACAACTCCTCACACACACTCATTGTGTGTGTTCCCCCACAGTACTGAAGACTCCAGTGCTGTTACAGAATCTGTCAGCAGCTCAGTGACACTCAGCTGCCCCGCCCACGGCGTGCCACACCCCCTCATCACATGGTACAAGGACCAACACCCTCTGCTGCATGGCTCAGGTAAGATACACAGTGCTCTTATATTCCCCTTTCCATTATTCAGTGAAAGTTGAGTTTCTTCATCTGTCTGAATGAAAAGGAGATGGAATTCTCTTCAGACTACTGAGATGGACCTCTGAAGTTAGTGTTGTAAAATGACATGTGACAGGTTCTGTTTCTCATGAGCAGGTATCGTCATAGCACCAGGAGGTGGGACCCTCCACATTGACCGAATCACAGTGGAGGAACAGGGTCTGTACACCTGCCAGTCTACCAATGAGAGAGGACTCTGCTGTGGGCTCCGCCTACATCTGGGTTCACAGTAAGGATCCGCTTACCAATAGTAACTCTGGAATACATTCAACTCTCTCTCTTCTCTCTTTCTATAACCATCCAAGATGGGTTCTTCTATATATGGGCATTTTTATGTCTGTGGACACATTGTTGTGATAGCTACCATTAGATTATTAAATGTATACATATTACAGTAATCTAATTATTATATATTATAACAACGGTGAAGAGTAAATCTTCAGCTAACAGGGTGAGATACAGTATGAAGACAACACTGCATACTGTTTACTTGGTCTTAGTCTTGATAGATTTTCCCAGAACACATTTTGGAGGTTTATATCACAGTTCAGTTCCTCCTTTAGATGCCTTGGGTACATGACCCAAGCCCTTTCCAGTAGAGGCTAGTCCACAATGTCATCACCCCCGTTTGGAGGGCCCTTCCCTGGGCAGTAGCAGCAGATGCTCCCTAGCCTGACCATGGAGAGGAGTGGCTGAGTGTTGTTGTGTTCTGATAAGTCAGGAAGGAAGCTGTCTCCCTTTTTGATTTCCTTTCGGAAGCGCCCCACTCTGCTGCCCCGTAAACTGGGGCTATTTTCTACTATCTTCCAAAAAAACACCAAGATGAATTAGGAGGAGGGCTGTTTGTGTTTGAGCCTGTTGGGTCGTTTCCACCCTGATCAGAGGCTGGGACAGACAGAGAGGGAGTGGCACAGTGAGAGGATAGCACCCTCATTTGGGAGGGTGGAGAACTGCAGAGCATAGGTGAAATAAATGTCAGATCATTGATTTTACTTGAAGCAAGGGAGGAGGGAATTATGCTTTTCAAAAGTATCCCAAGAGAGCCTTGTTAATCTCTAGGGTTCTTTTTCTATAGTTCTAAAAATGGGTAAATCCTTCCATTAATTTCAATCATGCCCTCTTCTCTCTTTCTCTCTCTCTCTCTCTCTCTCTCTCTCTCTCTCTCTCTCTTCTCTCTCTCTCTCTCTCTCTCTCTCTCTCTCTCTACTCATCAGAGGGCCTGTCTCTGGAGATATCTACTCTCACCTGTACCTGTCTGCTGCTCACTCTCTTCATACATAAACTCAAACAGGTGAGACACAAATGGAGTAGACTAGAGTGTATAAAATTGCTTAACTATCTGTCTTATTTTTGAAAGTACCATATAAATCAATTTCTCTCTGGCAAGGCAGAGTACCTGTCAATCATCCTGGACCAGGAGGAGGGGCCTCTGGAGGAGCAGTGTGATAGACTACAGTATGACCCCGGCCAATGGGAGTTCCCCAGAGACCGCCTCAAACTGGGTATACCTTTACACCATTGGTTACCGACCTGGTACACTGTGTAGTGATTGGTTACAGACTTTCTAGGAACTCCCTGTGTATAAGCTTAGGAAAGAGGAGATTATTAAGATTGAAGATAGATAAGATCACTTTCTCATAACAATCTTATCTGCATCAGAGATGACTAAGAGGGCCCCCTGTAATCAGCGTTATCTGTGTTGTGTGGGTGGGAGCTGTGTTTACTGTAACTAATCAGGTCTGGCTTGGGTGTGATCTGAGTTTGACTCATCGGGCTTATTGGATATACAGAAAATTTCGTTTTAATAAAGTCTTGTTGAATTTCAACTGAACTTTATAACATCTAGGTGGTTTCCACCTAAAGCCTTTTGAGCTTTCTCATGACCCTAAAGATTTAACAAAACTCTGACTCTGCCAGACTGCCACTGCCCGGTGTTAAACCACGACACACCTTTGGGTTCCAACCCACCATTTGAGAAACAAATAGCTAAGGAGATTGTGTTTTGATTCTGTCTCTGTGGCCTTCCAGAGAAACCTCTGGGCCGTGAGGCCTTTGGAAAGGTCATGCAGGTGTCCGCCTTTGGCATCGACAACTCTACAGGCTGCAGGACTGTGGCTGTCAAGATGCTCAACGGTACATGCTTCCTTATGTTCATTATACCTCAGTCATGATATCTAACAACAAATGATGACCATTCAGAATAGAGTAGAGTAATACAGAATAGAACTGAATAGAATATAACATGACTGTACTTTCCTACCGTAATGACTGAGGCATGTGGTGTATTTATAATATGCTGTCCTGTTTGCTGTCCACCAGAGGGGGCTACTCCCAGTGAGCACAAGGCTCTGATGACAGAACTGACAATCCTGAACCACATCAGTCACCACCTGAATGTGGTCAACCTGCTGGGAGCCTGCATCAAGGCAGGGCCTCTGATGGTCATAGTGGAGTGCTGTAGGCATGGAAACCTCCCCACCTACCTGAAGAGCAAGAGAGACATGTTCCTGCTCAACAGTGTGAGTTCAGACAGACAGGCAGGCAGACAAGCAGGCAGTCAGGCAGGTAGGCAGACAGACAGATACTCGGTGGGAAATGTCCATAGGGGGAGTAGCAGGGGGGAGGGGACAGGGGGATTAGGTAGTTGACTAGTGGTGGCAATTCAGCAGCCTGATGGTCTAGGGGCAGAAGCTATTGGCTAGTCTTACAGTTTTTGCCATGTTGCTCCTATACTGCCCACGTCTGAGTGATGGAAACGGGGAGAACAGGCCATGGTTCGGGTGGCTGGGGTCCCTGATGATCTTCTTGATCTTCGAGGAGGTAATGTTGTCTACCTTCACCACCTGGGGGCGGCCCGTCAGGAAGTCCAGAACTCAGTTGCACAGGGAGGAGTTTTGTCCCAGGGCCGTGAGCTTTGGGTAAAGCAGTGTTTCCCATAGGATTTTTTTCAGCAGTGGTGGAAAGGGTAACGGAGGGGTGCATTGCTACTAGGGTTAGCGCAATGCTAGCTGTTCGCATAGACTTCCAGCCATTGAACCAACGACTATCCATTTAAAAGGGCATCTCGGAATTGTTGCAACGGTGGCAACAATTTTGCATGAATATAGGGGAAACACTTGGGAAGGTCTCCATTGATAAGACATCCTGTCTACACTGAGTATACCCCCCCCCCCCCCCCCCCCTTTGCCCTCAGAACAGCCTCAATTCATCGGGGCATGGACTCTTCAAGGTGTCAAATGCGTTCCACAGGGATGCTGGCCCATGTTGACTCCAATGCTTCCCAAAGTTGTGTCAAATTGGCTGGATAGCCTTTGGGTGGTGGACCATTCTTGATACACACGGGAAACTGTTGAGCGTGAAAAACCAGCAGCGTTGCAGTTCTTGACACAAACCGGTGCGCCTGGCACCTACTACCATACCCGGTTCAAAGGCACTTAAATAGTTTGTCTTGCCCATTCATCCTCTGAATGGCACTCATACACAATCCATGTTTCAGTTGTCTCAAGGCTTAAAAATCCTTCTTTAACCTGTCTCCTCCCCTTCAACTACACTGATTGAAGTGGATTTAACAAGTGACATCAATAAGGGATCATAGCTTTCACCTGGATTCACTTGGTCAGTCTATGTCATGGAAAGAGCAGGTGTTCTTAATGTTTTGTCTACTCAGTGTATATTTTTATGCTGTGAAGTGCATCAGTGTCACACTAACAGACCTATCTCACATCCACCTCTTATTTCCTCTTATGGATCTACTAAATTAAACCTCAAGCACGCAAACACATAGACTCACTTCTGCACTCAATTTATGTTCTGTGGTATTATCTGTAATAAGAGCAAGAGCGACTGTTGTTCTGAGTATCTAGTCCTGTATGATTCATGTAAACACTCAGTGTGTTTGTAGAATCAGTTCAGTTCCATACCTGTACACACTGAACTCTAGCTTACACCACTAAACTATGCTAGATTTACATTTGGTTGAGTTGTCAACTGACGTGAATTCAACCTGAAATCAACTAAAAATGTCACCATATCATTGGATTTAGGTTAAATACGAAATGCCTTTATGTTGCTGACTTTTTGCAAATCCAATCAGTTTTCCACGTTGATTCAACGTCATCCCATAGATTTTGGGGGTTGAAATGAGGTGGAAACAACGTTGATTCAACCAGTGGGATAACACACTGCATTAGAACTTTAAGTCAACTATCACTCTATATTGACCATTAGTACTACCAAAACACTAATCCCAACTTTCACTCTCTCGCTCTCTCTCACTCCAGGTGTCTCCAAGTCTCCTCTGCTCCTGGAGGATCTCATCTCCTACAGGTTCCAGGTGGCTCGAGGCATGGAGTTCCTCTACTCATAGAGAGACTATGGCTTGAGTATAACTGGTGTGTGCATGTCTGTAGTTACTGCACCATGTTGGCGTGCTGGGAGGCTAACCCCTCAGACAACCCCACTGGCCTACTGGAAACACTGTGAGACCTGCTGGAGGCCCGGGCTAAGCATGTAACAGATACACACTCACTCATTCACACAGCTGTTTGTGTGTGATAAGGATGGGAAGGACTACATTCCCCTGGGCACACACACTCACCAGCCTGCGGTACGGCTAGTAACAGTAGGTAGAGTCCAATGGGTTGTAGTTGGTCATGTTTTCATTGTGTAGGTGGTCTGTTCCAGCTACATGAACACCAGGAGCACAGCAACACTCAGGACCTTTGAGGAGCTGCCATGCAAGGACCTGCCTGGCCCTGACGTGAGGACACACACCTGCCTGGCCCTGACGTGAGGACACACACCTGCCTGGCCCTGACGTGAGGACACACACCTGCCTGGCCCTGACGTGAGGACACACACACCTGCCTGGCCCTGACGTGAGGACACACACACCTGCCTGGCCCTGACGGGAGGACACGCATTGATTCCCACCTATTCTCTAACTGACACCAGACACGGATGCTTGTCCCTGAGGTCAGTGTCTGTTGTGTTGCTATGTTTCAGAATGAGCAGTGTAACAGTGTCACACACACACCAAACATGTTCTTGTGCGCTCGTACACAAACACACACAGACTCAGACACACATGCACTAATGTGTATAACTGGTGTGTTTCAGGATGAGCAGGGTGACAGTGGCATGGTTCTGCCCTCTGGGGAGCTCAAACGTCTCAGATGGAACAGCGGCTCCAAGAGCAGGAGCCTCACAAGGTCACCACCTCTAACCCCTGACCTCCAACCCCTAATTGACTTAAAATAAGTGTATTTTCTGTTCTGAATTGAGGGTTTGTGTGTTTGCAGGTTCTTCACCATCAGTAAGTGCAGGGAGAACCTGGTGCCCTGCATGTGTAATGACATCACTGGTCTTCATGAAGACGAGCTGCCTGTCCTCCCATGCGACTGTGACGAGGGCTGTTCCCCTCCGCCCAACTACAACTCTGCCTTCCTCTACCCCTCCCTCTAACATGTATGATAGCCACTGAGTTATTTGCACTAACTGACACATGTATTTAATGTACAGTACCAGTCAAATGTTTGGAAGCTGTCATCAAGGCAAAGGGTGGCTACTTTGAAGAATCTCAAATATATTTTGATTTGTTTAACACTTTTTTGGTTACTACATGATTCCATATGTGTTATTTCATAGTTTTGATGTCTTCACTATTATTCTACAATGTAGAAAATAGTCAAAATAAAGGAGAACCCTGGAATGAGTAGGTCTGTCCAAACTTTTGGCAGATACTGTATGTATTCAAACACATTTTAAATGTTTAAGCAAAGAGTTACCACCCTTAGCAAACTGACTGACAACAATATCCTATATTCTTACCAGCATGACCCTCTAAGACAAACACACTATGTTTTGGTATTCTTTATTAAAATACTGCTGTACACACAAATATTACAACATTTTAGTCAAACACAAGAGGGGCATAAAACATACTAAGATGGTGATGGTGTGTGTGGAAGTGGGGCAGCACTAGTTAGTGATGCACGGGTTGACTCATCCCCCACAGTCCCCACGGTTACATCCACGGGGCAAGGGGTTTAGGGTGGGTGGCGGCTTGAATAAAGAGAAAATAATTGTATAATTCATATCTATAGCTACATTGAGGTTTTTCTTTAATTTGAAAAATTAGTACCTAAGCTTTAGGGTTTAACTGTAGGCTACGCATGCCAACAAACCTGGCACAGTGGACGCTATTCTCTTTCTGCAAAACAAAGACTAAGTAGACAATTATAGTCCCAGAACTGGATTTTGTTGCGTTACAGCCTATTTATTTTCTAAGCCTATTAAGGCCTCACAGGCAGTCGGCCTAAAATATATACATTTATTGTTTGACATTTGTTTCTCAAAAGGTGTCAATTTAGGCTATTGTTTGAAATTTTTTGTTTCTGCAAAACATTAGGCTACTGTTCAATAGGCCTAAATTTTCAATAAATTGATGAATTGTTGAAGAAAAACATCATCGTTCAATAAATGTCCAAGAGGAAAAAAAGGCAACTGTACTACGCATTTTCTATATTTGCGGGAAAGGGTCGGGTGCAGATTTTCACTTTATCCCATATAGTCGGGCGGTTGCGGATGGGTTATTAGCAATTGCGGGTGGGGTGCGGGTGAACAAACAGCTGACCCGCGCATCACTAGTATTACTGGAGTGTGTGTTATGATGGTGATATGATGAGTGTTGACTTGTGTGGATTGGGGATATGGATGGCCATGTGCTGGTATGGGGGTGTGTGTGATCGGTTTAAAGATGGGGGTCTAAGCACCACATTCACCAAATATGCTTTCAGTCTTGATCATGTCACTAAAAACAGTACATGATTCTAACATAGCCAACTCCCAGCTCACCTCATGGAGTAGGTAGAAGATGCCCCTAACAACTGACATAGGGTCAGATATGTTGTCATCCCCCTAGTATTTCAGGTAAGACTGGACTATGGTAAACTGATGCTAGATCTGTGCTTAGGGACACCCACCCCCACCCCACACACACATTTAGAGTCCCGCCCACACCGATCTGACTGGATAAAGGGCGACCAATGACGGCCAAACACATTCAGTCATTGGGCCCCTGCAGCCGTCCATCGTCCTGAGAGAATTCCAAACCATCCAACAGAGGGTCTATTCAATAGGGTTGAATGTTGCACATAGAACTGTGATGTATAGAATAGACATAGTTACCTTCTCGTGTGACTAGAAGTATTGGTATGATCTAATTATATAATACATTTCTAAAATGCTTTGAACGTTTCACCCTTCTGAATAGATCCTTGCTTCTGAGTGCAACAGCCACTGCCGACCCCCCTTACCAATTCTCTATCCTTCTCCCTGATGTGTACACTCCTTCACTATCCATTATGAATTCAAAGGCATTGGATTGGTACAAGCATGGTTTGGAGTTTCCATCATATCTCTTATGCCAATCCATTATTTTTAAAGCCATGAGAGGGAGTGAATGAGTGCACACTTCTGGGGGAAAAACCCAAAGGACCTCTGGGAGGGGTCAGAAGTGAAAGGTGAGAGGTGACTCCTGGTCATAGCTGCTCAAGCACGTTTTGTGTCACATGATCTTAAAAAGGTCAAATAAAACAGATTCTTAAAATGATTCAAAACCCCTTCTTACAATCCACTTCGCCCCGTTGCCCTGTTCGTTGCGCCAAACCCCCCCCCCCCCCCCCCCGGAATTGGTCCACAGAATAAAGTTTGTGTTGAGGCGGAAAAGACTGTCCCTTCCATGTCCCATCATGCATCACCACACTACAGCTGATCAAAATTAGAGGAACCAGCTAGAAAGAATCACAAAAAGCTGAACTTATTCTCAAATGAAGAAAGGTCGACAGGGACCCTACAGGGGAGGGAGAAAGTGGGAGGGAGGGAGGGACCCTTCAGGGGAGGGAGAAAGAGGGAGGGAGGGAGGGAGGGAGGGAAGGGGCAAAGAAAAGGACATTCCACATTGAGGCAGAACTGGCTCCATTATCTAGTTTTGGCCCAATCCATGGGTTCCATCCCAGAGCTGAGGAGCCAGCTCCTTCTCCCACGTTCTTCATTTGTCTCACAACATTTTCCACATTAAGCAAAAAAGGAGGCTGCTGCCGGCCTGCATGACTCTGCTCTAACAAACACGTACACAGCCATCGGGAAAAGACACTCGGTGCCAACAGAAACCACAGTTTGACCCAACACTGGTCTGTTTCAACAGAGTCCCCATCCCAACCCGCACCCTACTCCAAAACTCAGTGGTTTGTCCTTTCTGAGTGGGAACTGACAACCAAGGCTGACTTGGACCGGTCCATTTCATGAATGGGTTCTCTGACCACCCCCTTTGAAAGCATCCAGTGGTCTGTCCCGTCTCTTAGTGCGTTGGTATGAAGGGGTGTGGTCTCCAGCAGGAAGAGAGACGCAGTAAAAAGAAAGCCTGATTTATATTCAGTTCTCAGTCTGTGTGTGTGTGTCTGACTTCACCTCTCTCTGTAGCTGCATCTTGTAGGCCACTCACACACATTCATTAAAAGTAAAGTCTTAGTGCATCCTCCACAGAAAAAAAGCAGGAAGAAGTATTTTTTTTGTATCCGTTTTGTTCCCCAAGTCTAAAAAAAAATGCATTGTTCATTATCCTTGTTCTCATCGTCATGGTCACAGCTTCTGTTTTTGTCCATAATTTGTAGTCGCAGCTGCGGGGTTTTAGAAAAACTTTTTTAAAAAAAAGCAGCTTTAGAAAAGCCTTCCTGGTTGCCAAGACAGTGTATGTGACTGAGATCCAGCAAGTCCCGCCACCTCTGCCCCTCTGATGATGTCATCACTATGCGCCTGGTCCTCCGATGTAGTGCAATAATGTGCTGTCAGGTTCAGGGTTCAGGCAGTCCCACCCCGCTGCCTGGTGGGGGCGCTACAGGGGGGGGGTGGCAGCGGCCTGCTGCAGCTCCTGGAAGGTACTGTCGAAGCAGCGCTTCAGGTCCGAGTAGGTCACCACCAGAACACTCTTCTCATCACGAGACACCAAGTTTATCTTCTCAGGCACGCCCGCGTCCAGCTACACAGAGAGACGGGAGAGAGAGGTAAGTACTGCTAGACTGGTAGTCCAGCTGAGCACCAAGACAGTAATACGCAGAAAGAGAGAGATATATTGGAAGACAAGTGGCTCACACAGAAAGAGGAGGGTGAGAGGAGAGGAGAGTGAGGAGAGGTGAGTGAGTGAGGAGAGGAGAGTGAGTGAGGAGTGAGTGGAGAGTGAGTGGAGAGTGAGTGGAGAGGAGAGGGGGCAGTGAGTAAAAAAAAAAGACAGAAGGGTGAGAACGACCCAGAGAAGAGAGAGGCAGAAAGATAGAGAAATACAGAAAGAGACAGGCAGGAGGAGGCAGGAGGACGAGGAGGCGGCGTACTTTGTTGAGGCAGGAGACAATGTGGCTGAGGTCTATCCAGGGGGTCCCAGCCTCCGTCACCTGGTGGAACAGGTGGTCTCTGAACAGCTTCAGCAGGTAGCGGTCTCCTGTCTCAGACCACGTACGGTCCTTCTGAAACCTGACCACACAAAGACAGACAGACAGAGAGAGAGAGAAAGTTAGACACCTACAAGTGAAGAGAGCCTGTAGAAGTGTAAAAGGAAGGGAGTGTCAATTGGTCAATGTTAAACATTCACTCCAAACAGAGTGATACAGTACTTACTCTGGCCTCTCGTTGATGGTGCCCAGTTTGGCCAACAGACGGAAGAGACGACCATTCTGGACCTCCTACGACAGAGATAAAACAACTTGATCAGTTATATACCATACATCAACACAACACAATGAGTAAAATGAACCATTGATGTAATATTTTAAACTGGACGAGGTGTTTGTCTATATTGGTGAACTGTAGGTGGTAGTATTAGTTACACAGAGTACAAAACATTCCTAATATCCAGTTGGTAGAGCATGGCGCTTGTAACGCCAGGGGTGGGTTTGATTCCCAGGACCACCCACATGTAAAATGTATGTACACATGACTAAGTCCCTTTGGTTAAAAGCGTCTGCTAAATGGCATATATTATTATCATTTTGATCTCATGGATGGTCAGTCCTTACATCCATAGCTCTGTCTATGGATTTGAGAGTGGTTCCTATCCTTCAACTATTTATCAGTGGTGGGGTGCCCACTTTTTTAGATTGAACTGCAGTTTGTCCCTTTAAATAAGTCACCATCAAACCAAACCCACAGAGAGTACGAACACGAACACACACACACACACTCACACTCACTCATCAACGCCTGCTTGATAACACACGTCCCTGCTGTCTGTGACCCAATTCGGCACAGTGGTGCTTATCTTTGTCGTATGTGAGCGAGGAAGGAGAAGTACGTGTATAAGCATGAAGGGCATTGTGGATAAAAATACAACCAGAAACCCATCTGAACAGAAACGCACACCAAGGGAGTAACATGACTCTCACACATACACAGGGCAGTGAGAGGCCAGTGGTTTCACGCCTGCGGCCAGGACAGAAGAGGAAAGCAGAAGCTGTAGAGCGGGGACAGAGGGAACACAGCCCACATAGAACATCCTGTATCTTCACACCTCTCCTTCCTCACCCTCGCCACCTTGCGTCTCTTCCCTTCACCACCCCTTCTACAGAGCAGAGGTGGCATCAAACACACACACTAACCAGCTTTCCATCCTACCTTTTTATGGGAGTAAAGTACATGTCAGATAAAAAATGTCACGACAGGCCTGATGGAAACAAAACTAAATACGCATGACAAGGTGGGATCTCTGTCAGTCAAATTAACTATGTGATAAATGACGGTGGAAATGCCTTTATGCGCTAATATTGATATAATAACTAACCATCATATCAAAGTAAATTTGGAGTTACGCGATGATATGGTGTGTGGTCCTCCCACTACGACTCAGAAAACCATGCAGTTTATTAGGCTAGAGATTAAGTTCTAATGAACTTCACAGGGTGGGGAAAGCTTGATGCTCCTTTCCAATAAATATCGAGGGTCCTATTCTGGTGGCATGATGATCGATGCTTGGCTGCCGTTTCACGGAATAAAGATAATCTTGCTCTTTTGTCCATAACAATCTTATCATGTAGGTAGCCTACCCTCACTGTATCGGCAAGCTGTTGGCTACAGCACACATGCCAAGACCAGAGTGGGAACATTCGCTATATAACGCAACATTTTTATGACAAAACCATCAGTAGAGTTGAAAATGCGATAGGAAACCCATTTAACTTGAATGTTTTTATTCGGTACTTAACCGCAAAAGTTATTTGAACTACGTCATTATGAACAGCCTTTTGTCTGCAACAAGTCAATTTGATGGAAACATCTCTGGTGGGAAAATGTACATATAGTTGTTATGCAGATTTGAGAATATTCACATGAAAATCTGTCGCCAATTGGATGGAAACCTAGCTACTGTTGAACTCCATGACCCAACAGTGTGTGTGTACCTTGGCAAGGTCCTCCTCGATTACATCATTCCTCATCTGTGATGCGTCCAGCTGTGTGTAGAAGCGAGCTCCGATCATGGGCATGATGTCATTGACGCTTCGCAGCCTTGACTGCTCTGTCAGTAGATACCTACAACACAGGCACAGAGTACGTTACGTGTCAGTCAGAGGGTGTACTTCTGTCAGTCCAAACTAACACAACACAGGAGTGTCAAACTCAATTCCTGGAGGGCCATGTCGGCTGCTTTTGTTATTTTCTTTCAATTAGTGTCCAATTAAGACCAAACAACCAGGTGAGGGGAGTCCCTTACTCATTAGTGACCTTAATTCATCAATCAAGTACAAAGGAGGAGTGAAAATCCTCGGCCCTTGAGGACTAGAGTTGGACATGTGACACTATATGTGAGTGAGCAGTTGCAGATGCAGTTGATTGACACCAGCTCCATAGCCTTGTGCAGGTTCTCTCTGTGTCTGTGGTTGTCTTACAGGATGAGGTTCTTGAGGTCTGATGAGTAGTTGATTGACACCAGCTCCATGGCCTTCTGCAGGTTCTCTCTCTGAATTCCAGCCAGAGAGTTACAGGCCAGGGCCAACACCACCTTGCCCAGGGAGATCAGGTCCGCTTGCTGCACCCACACACACAAGAACAGGGTTAACAACAGAACAAACACACTACAGCCAGGGGCCAACTCAACTCAACCAAAGTAAATCAGGTCAACAAGTCACATCACACAAAGCCAAGTATAACAGACACACACTAGGATTTAAAACTGGATCCGGTATCCCGAGATTTCCCAACCAAGCTCCTTCCAGTAAAAAAAAAAGACGGGTACTGTGTATCAATAATATACAACTTCTATGTAACACCAATGTAAACATACAAATATGTGACATATCAACTCTCTGGCTTCATTCATACATGAAACTAGGTCCGGGACGATACCAGTACTGAGATACGAGTTAGTATCGTGGCAAGGAAACAAAACACGAAGTGGATTTAACTTCTTTAGGAAAAATGTACTTATTTTCCAAGTTATAGCGCACAATATTTTACATACAGCAGGTTTTTAAAGGACTAAAGAGTTAGGTCTGCTTCGTGTTTACATTTTTGTGCCATGGAAAGAATACTGGTATCATCCCGACCCTACATTACACCAGTCATTACTACCATATTCACTCAACATGAAGTCCTCAATAGAAATCGTCACTCACCTGCATGGCTTCTATACACTGAATTGCTTACTATCATGTGTAGGCTACACGCAACCTCTCGACGCAGTTAGTGTAGACAATGTCCAATCTCATCACATTCAAATCTCCAAACTAGCTGTGTGACACTGGTAGACACTCAAAATATAAACCGTGGCTACTCACAAAATGGTTTGAAACAGTGTGGCCACCAAAAGTGCTTGAGGAAATAGACAGTATTATATGCTTTTAAATTGCATTTCCGGTTTGAATGGGAATAACAGGAAGGAAAATTGCTAGATTTTGGGGAAAATATTAAACCCCATCATACACACACACACACACAACACACAGGAGAACAGGGTAAAGAACAGAACCATGTGTCCATTTGAATCTGAACTAGGCTATGTTCTGCCAGACTGACAGACAGGGGGTTTACTGTACCTGGTACTGTGGCATGAGGGCCACATGGTTAGTCTGACTGTTGTCAAACGTTAAGACATCAAACACCCCTACACAGTTCACCCGTAACCTGCAGGGAGAAATGGCATGGTGAGCTGTGTGTGTGTACTGTGTAAAATGTAAGCATGTTTGTGTGTGTGTGTGTGTGGTTCTCCCCATTCTTCAGTCTGAAAAAAGGAAGCCAAGACTAATACAGAGCTTCTGCTTTCACGGTCCTGTACAGGAAATAAGCCACCAGATAAACATCAGAGGGCTGCAGACAATGGTCTATACACAGTTCCCTTGCAGGGAACTTTAGGTAGCTTGCCCACAATCAAGTAATGCACATTCAAAATCTTTGTGTCTACCTGGTATCAGAGAACATGGATCTAGCTGGGATCCGTAACCTTGGTCACCATTGTGTGTGCCTGCAAGGTGTGTGTGTGTGTGTACCTGGTCTTGCCGGTGATGAGGATCTTGCTAGGGTCCATGACCCTACAGGCCAGGCCAGCAGTGTGAATGGTTCTGAGGGCTGAGCTCAGCTGGACGATGTAGGCCCAGATCAGAGACTCAGGAAGCAGACCTGCATGCTGCCGGGGTGGAGGGGGCTCGTGCTGCCCTACAGAGGGGCACGGGACACACACACGATTAGAAACACAGATGAAACACATTGAGGCTCAACTTTCTAGCAAATGTCAAGACACAGTCACGCACATACACACACTTGATGAACAGTTGAGAGAGGTGTTAGTAGGATATAGAGTAGTAATTACAGTAGAACACTTGTTGCATTGATGTCAGAGAGGCTGAGAGGCTCTGCTTCCTCTGGCTGTATTCCTGCTATAGCAGGTAGTTGGGTCTACCTAGTATCTATAGAACCTGTCTCAGGATCAGTTTCAGCCACAGCTTCCTTCCAGACTACAGCCTGAACACACCAGCAACCACACACACTCCTACTATCACACAGACCAGCAACTGTCAGTGCTGGCACCACACACATCCACCTACCCCCCTTACACCCCTCTCCACACTCACACAGAAACCGTTAGCACTGGGCACCTCACACAGACAGATACACCACTAGTTGTATACACAGACAGATTACACCACTAGTTTGTTATACACAGGACAGTACATACCACTAGTTGTATACACAGGACCACACCACTAGTTGTTAAACAGACGACACACACTAGGTTTGCTATACACAGACAGATACACCACTAGTTGTATACACAGACAGATACACCACTAGTTGTCTACACAGACAGATACACCAACTAGTTGTATACACAGGCAGATACACCACTAAGTTTGTTGTATCGAGCAGATCAAGATACACCACTAGTTGTATACACAGGACAGATACACCACTAGTTGTATAACACGACAGATACACCACTAGTTGATATACACAGACAGATACACCACTAGTTGTATTACACCGTACAGATACACCCACTAGTTGTATTACACAGACAGATACACCACTAGTTGTATACACAGACAGATACACCACTAGTTGTATACACAGACAGACACACCACTAGTTGTATACACAGACAGATACACCACTAGTTGTATACACAGACAGATACACCACTAGTTGTATACACAGACAGATACACCACTAGTTGTATACACAGACAGATACACCACTAGTTGTATACACAGACAGATACACCACTAGTTGTATACACACAGCCCCTCACACAGACAGACACATCCATACTTTCAAAATAAACCACTACACAAGACATTCACTCCTGCACATACAGAAAATCTGTTAGGAACAAGTCAAGTTTCAAAACATGAGAAGCAGAGAGGGACAAAGGTGTGAGGACCAAGGGGGGTCATGAAAGGGGGATGTGTGGGAGTGTGTTGGGGTCAGTATGGGAGAGGTGAAGGAGGGGGAGGGAGAGTGTTGGGGTCAGTATGGGAGAGGTGAAGGAGGGGGAGGGAGAGTGTTGGGGTCAGTATGGGAGAGGTGAAGGAGGGGGAGGGAGAGTGTTGGGATCAGTATGGGAGAGGTGAAGGAGGGGAGGGAGAGTGTTGGGGTCAGTATGGGAGAGGTGAAGGAGGGGGAGGGAGAGTGTTGGGGTCAGTATGGGAGAGGTGAAGGAGGGGGAGGGAGAGTGTTGGGGTCAGTATGGGAGAGGTGAAGGAGGGGGAGGGAGGTGTTGGGGTCAGTATGGGAGAGGTGAAGGAGGGGGAGGGAGAGTGTTGGGGTCAGTATGGGAGAGGTGAAGGAGGGGGAGGGAGAGTGTTGGGATCAGTATGGGAGAGGTGAAGGAGGGGGAGGGAGAGTGTTGGGGTCAGTATGGGAGAGGTGAAGGAGGGGGAGGGAGAGTGTTGGGGTCAGTATGGGAGAGGTGAAGGAGGGGGAGGGAGAGTGTTGGGTCAGTATGGGAGAGGTGAAGGAGGGGAGGGAGAGTGTTGGGGTCAGTATGGGAGAGTGAAGGGAGAGTGTTGGGGTCAGTATGGGAGAGGCCGGTGAGGGGGGGAGCGTGTTGGGGTCAGTATGGGAGAGGAGAGGTGAGGGGGGGGCAGGAGGGAGAGTGTTGGGGTCAGTATGGAGAGGTGTGAAGGAGGGGAGAGTGTTGGGGTCAGTATGGGAGAGGTGAAAGGAGGGGGGGAGGGAGAGTGTTGGGATCGTATGGGAGATGTGAGGAGGGGGAGGGAGAGGAGAGTGTGGGGTCAGTATGGAGAGTGGTGAAGGAGGGGGGTAGGAGGGTTCGGGGTCAGTATGGGAGAGGTGAAGGAGGGGGAGGGAGGTGTTGGGGTCAGTATGGGAGAGGTGAAGGAGGGGGAGGGAGATGTTTGGGGGTCCGTTGGGAGAGGTTGAAGGAGGGGGAGGGGAGAGGTGGTCATTGGGGGTTGGAAGGGGTTGGGGTCAGTATGGCAGAGGTGAAGGAGGGGGAGGGGAGAGTGTTGGGGGTCGAGTGATGGGAGAGGTGAAGGGAGAGTGTTGGGTCAGTATGGAGAGGTGAAGGAGGGGGAGGGGAGTGTTGGGGTCAGTATGGGAGAGGTAAGGAGGGGGAGGGAGAGAGTGGTGGTCAGTATGGGAGAGTTGAGGGGGGGAAGCGTGTGGGGTCAGTATGGAAGAGGTGAGGGGGGAGCGGGTGGGGTCAGTATGGGAGAGTTGAGGGGGGGGGGGGGGGAGGGGGGGGAGCGTGTTGGGTCAGTCTGGGAGAGGTCAGTATGGGAGAGGTGAGGGGGAGCAGTGTTGGGGTCAGGTATGGGAGAGAGACGGTGAAGGTAGGAGTGTTGGTGGAGGGAAGACTCACCCCACTTCCTCTTGGTGAAGTAGGAGTCGGCCGTGGGGTCGTTGAAGTGCCTGCTAAACATGGTCTCTGCCCCCGCATGGAAATCATAGGAAAACACCAACGCTGAGAGAGAAACAGGAGGTTATCATGGGGGTTATGAATCAAACACACACTCACACAAAAACCAATGGAAACAATTACACATGTATACACAAACATACAACATGGGGACACACTTAGAGACCCCCTGCCACTCACAAACACACACGACTCACAGTGGTCTCCAAAGGCCTTGGTGGTGAAGACCTCCCTCAGGGTAACAGAGTTGGAGTGCTGGATCTTCTTCCACATATCCACCAGCATCATACACTTGGTGTTCACCAACCTGAAACCTGGACACACACACAGCAAAGACATTCAGAGAACATGACCACTCAAGATTCCTTATATTTTCAAAGAAGGCTCAAAGAAAAGATCCGATAGCAAATAAGATTATTTAAAACCCCAAGGACATGAAGGCTAAAGTGTGTGTGTGGTCTCACCATGTATCCTCCTCAGGCAGTATGGCAGGTCGTCCTTGCTGTTGACGGCCTTGTAGCAGGAAGTGATGTAGCTGAAGTTGCTGGTCTTCTGCAGGCGGTTGGGAGGGGGGACAGGCTCCAGGGGAAACAGGCTGTGGTAGCTGTCCACCTCAGATGGAACACCTGGGACAGATGGGACAGGGATACACGTCATGAGAACACACGCGTACACTGAGTGGACAAAACATTAGGAACACCTGCTCTTTCCATGACGGACTGACCAGGTGAAATCTATGACGCCCTTATTGATATAACTTGTTAAATCCACTTCAATCAGAGTAGATGAAGGGGAGGAGACAGGTTAAAGAAGGATTTTTAAACCTTGAGAACAATTGAGACATGGATTATGTATGTGTGCCATTCAGAGGGTGAATGGGCAAGACAAACTATTTAAGTGCCTTTGAATGGGGTATGGTGCCAGGCACACAGGTTTGAGTGTGTCAAGAACTGCAACGCTGCTGGGTTTTTCACACTCAACAGTTTCCTGTGTGTATCAAGAATGGTCCACCACCCAAAGAACATCCAGCAAACTTGACACAACTGTGGGCCAGCATCCCTGTTGGCACTTATCTTAAGTTACAAGTTTTGATAGTTGAACAACTTGACAATGTTCTACAAACCAACCAGTGTGACTATTCGTGTGTGTGTGTGTAAACTGTCGTCAGGAATCCTACAGACTGAGACACGACTCAGGTGCGAGTCTCACTTTCAGCCTGCAGGGAAACCGCAACAGAGGCTACACGACCAAACCGTCAGAACACATCAACCGTCAAAACAATGACCACAACTCCAATAACATCCCCTCCACTACCTCTGTTCAGCCAATAAGGGAAGGAATGCTTTACCGGTGTTCTCTGACTGGTCGATCTGAGCCATGGTGATCAAATGTCTGTTAATCAGCTCCTAGAGGGAACCACAGGAAATGACATCAGAGATCAACACTGTGACATCACAGTTTGATTGGAGGATGAGAACAGAGCCAGACAAACAGAACAGAGGCAGGGAGATGAGAGAGAAATAGAGGAAATATGGAGACAGGGCAAAAAAAGAGAGAAAGGGAAACAGAAAGTTGGGGTTTCAGACAGGAAGAACCAGGAGGATGAAGAGAGAGGGGGATACTGACAAATAAGAGACGGGGGGGTACCTGTCGGAGTTCATCAGCCATGAAGAAGGACGGGGCGTTGGCTTTGGGCTGCATGTAGGCAACGTGGGGAGCGGTGGGGGGGTAGATGTGGTAGGTAGGAAACACCTGCACAGAAACCACACACATTCAACGACTACAATTCCTATTTATGGAGAAATCATAACTGACAGTTGACCGATGATAATGAGGAATTTATTTTCATTCCGTCAGTAAGGGCAGACTAAATGGAATGTACCATCCCGGCCATGGGAGCGGGGGTGTTGTCGGTGTAGAAGTAGGTGGTCCCCCCCACCGTCTCCTTCTGGATGATGTGGGCCCCCTGGTCAGACGCACTGGTGGGCACCATGTAGTTGGCTGGGTTGGGGTTGGGGGTGTGGCTGCGCCGGCGAGGGGCGGGGGAGGTGTGGGGGGTGATTTTGGGGGAGTGGAGGGGGGAGGACCCTGCAGAAAGAGACATCCCTGTGGGGGGACACCAGAGAGGACATGGGTTAAACAGAGGTACAGAGTTCTTTGGAGTGGTTCCATACATTGTTCTGACTAACTGCTGACTGACTAAAGGTGGAATTCATTATGTTGGGGATTTACTTGAATAATACATTGTCTGCTGTTTTTTTCTAGAGCATCTCTCCGTTGTATGGAGTCCATTCATCTGGTTGCCAGGAGAACAATGGGACGTAACATCAGAGAAAATCTACACTGAAAACTCACTCAACCTGACATATTCACGAAGAGAGCAAGGTTAAAAGCAATAAAACCCCTTGGTTGGTGGGTTAAGTCAGAGAATTTAGCGTTTTTTGTATAGTGGGTGGCTCACCGGGTGCGAGGGCGGCAGCGGTGGAGCTGCTGAGGCTGGGGTGGGGGAAGAGGGGCGAGGGGAAGGCTGGACCACTGGACTGGACCACAGTGGCCATGCGGGGAGCCCCCTTAGGGATGAACTCATTGGCTGTAGGGTTAGGAGCCTGGGAGAGCGAGAGTGAGCGAAAGAGAGGGAGCGCGAGAGATGCATAATATTAGGATTAGATTAAATTGTTCTGCTTCATCAGACATTGTATTTGTATGACGTTTGTTTCCTTGTAAGTGGCTTTGGCTTCATCACATACTGTAAAACATACACATCTCTATGTATTTATTTGGACAGTGAAGCTAAAACTTAATTTTGCTCTATACTCCAGCATTTTGGATTTGAGATCAAATGTTTTATACAGTTGAAGTCAGAAGTTTACATACACCTTAACCAAATACATTTAAACTCAGTTTTTCACAATTCCTGACATTTAATCATAGTAAAATCCCTGTTCTCTCCTCTCTGCACAATCCATACAAACGCTTCACACCACGTGGCTGTTGCCACTCTAATCTGGTGGTCCCTGTGCGCACGACCCACGTGGAGTTCCAGGTCTCTGGGAGCCTCTGGAACTGCCGTTCTGCGGCCAACAAGGCAGAGTTCATCTCAGCCTATGCTACCCTCCAGTCCCTCGACTTCTTGGCGCTGACGGAAACATGGATCACCACAGAAAACACTGCTACTCCTACTGCTCTTTCCTCGTCTGACCATTACCCCGAGAGCATCTGGTCAGCGCGGCGGTGGCACAGGAATCATCATCACTCCCAAGTGGACATTCTCTCTTTTTCCCCTGACCCATCTCATTTGAATTCCATGCTGTCAGTCACTAGCCCATTCAAGCTTAACATCCTTGTCATTTATCGCCCTCCAGGTTCCCTTGGAGAGTTCATCAATGAGCTTGACGCCTTGATAAGTTCCTTTCCTGAGGATGGCTCACCCCTCACAGTTCTGGGTGACTTTAACCTCCCTACGTCTGCCTTTGACTCATTTCTCTCTTTTGACCTCACCCTCTCACCGTCCCCCCCTACTCACAAGGCAGGCAATACGCTTGACCTCATCTTTACTAGATGCTGTTCTTCTACTAATCTCACTGCAACTCCCCTCCAAGTCTCCGACCACTACTTTGTATCCTTTTCTCTCTCGCTCTCCTCCAACACTACTCACTCTGCCCCTACTCAGATGGTAATGTGCCGTCGCAACCTTCGCTCTCTCTCTCCCGCTACTCTCTCCTCTTCCATCCTATCATCTCTTCCCTCTGCTAAATCCTTCTCCCTCCGATCTCCTGATTCTGCCTCCTCAACCCTCCTCTCCTCCCTTTCTGCATCTTTTGACTCTCTATGTCCCTTATCCTCCCGGCGGGCTCGGTCCTCCCCTCCTGCTCCGTGGCTTGACGACTCATTGCGAGCTCACAGAAGAGGGCTCCGGGCAGCTGAGCGGAAATTGAGGAAAAGTAGACTCCCTGCGGACCTGTCATCTTTTCACTCCCTCCTCTCTACATTCTCTTCCTCCGGTTCCGCTGCCAAAGCCACTTTCTACCACTACATTTCAAGCCTCTACCTCGAACCCTAGGAAGCTCTTTGCCACCTTCTCCTCCCTGCCGATTCCTCCTCCCTTACCTCACCCCGCTCATCAACTCAACCGCTGGCCATGTCCCTTCCGTCTTCAAGAGAGCGAGAGTTGCACCCCTCCTCAAAAAACCTACACTCGATCCCTCCAATGTCAACAACTACAGACCAGTATCCTTTCTTTCTTTTCTCTCCAAAACTCTTGAGCGTGCCGTCTCTAGCCAACTCTCCTGCTATCTCTCTCAGAATGACCTTCTTGATCCAAACCAGTCAGGTTTCAAGACTGGTCATTCAACTGAGACTGCTCTTCTCTGTGTCACGGAGGCTCTCCGCACTGCTAAAGCTAACTCTCTCTCCTCTGCTCTTTTCGTTCTAGACCTATCCGCTGCCTTTGAGACTGTGAACCATCAGATCCTCCTCTCCACCCTCTCCGAGTTGGGCATCTCCGGCGCTGCTCACTCTTGGATTGCGTCCTACCTGACAGGTCGCTCCTACCAGGTGGCGTGGCGAGAATCTGTCTCCGCACCACGTGCTCTCACCACTGGTGTCCCCCAGGGCTCAGTTCTAGGCCCTCTCCTATTCTCTCTATACACCATGTCACTTGGCTCTGTCATATCCTCACATGGTCTCTCCTATCATTGCTACGCAGACGACACACAATTAATTTTCTCCTTTCCCCCTTCTGATAACCAGGTGGCGAATCGCATCTCTGCATGTCTGGCAGACATATCAGTGTGGATGTCGGATCACCACCTCAAGCTGAACCTCGGCAAGACGGAGCTGCTCTTCCTCCCGGGGAAGGAATGCCCGCTCCATGATCTCGCCATCACGGTTGACAACTCCATTGTGTCCTCCTCCCAGAGTGCAAAGAACTTTGGCGTGACCCTGGACAACACCCTGTCGTTCTCCGCTAACATCAAAGTGGTGACCCGATCCTGCAGGTTCATGCTCTACAACATTCGCAGAGTACGACCCTACCTTACACAGAAAGCGGCACAGGTCCTAATCCAGGCACTTGTCATCTCCCGTCTGGATTACTGCAACTCGCTGTTGGCTGGGCTCCCTGCCTGTGCCATTAAACCCCTACAACTTATCCAGAACGCTGCAGCCCGTCTGGTGTTCAACCTTCCCAAGTTCTCTCATGTCACCCCGCTCCTCCGCACACTCCACTGGCTTCCAGTTGAGGCTCGCATCTACTACAAGACCATGGTGCTTGCCTACGGAGCTGTGAGGGGAACGGCACCTCCTTACCTTCAGGCTCTGATCAGACCCTACACCCAAACGAGGGCACTACGTTCATCCACCTCTGGCCTGCTAGCTCCCTACCTCTGCGGAAGCACAGTTCCCGCTCAGCCCAGTCAAAGCTATTCGCTACTCTGGCACCCCAATGGTGGAACAACCTCCCCCACGACAGCGGAGTCACTGACCACCTTCCGGAGACACTTGAAACCCTACCTCTTTAAGGAATACCTGGAATAGTATAAAGTAATCCTTCTACCCCCCCATAAAAAAATAAAAGTGGTTGTCCTACTGGCTATCATAAGTTGAATGAACCAATTTGTAAGTCGCTCTGGATAAGAGCATCTGCTAAATGATGTAAATGTAAAAATTCCCTGTCTTAGGTCAGTTAGGATCACCACTTTATTTTAAGAATGTGAAATGTCCGAATAATAGTAGAGAGAATGATTTATTTCAGCTTTTATTTCTTTCATCACATTCCCAGTGGGTCAGAAGTTTACACACACTCAATTAGTATTTGTTAGCATTGCCTTTAAATTGTTTAACTTCGGTCAAATGTTTTGGGTAGCCTTCCGCAAGCTTCCCACAATAAGTTGGGTGAATTTTGGCCCATTCCTCCTGACAGAGCTGGTGTAATTGAGTCAGGTTTGTAGGCCTCCTTGCTCGCACACGCTTTTTCAGTTCTGCCAACACATTTTCTATAGGATTGAGGCAAGGGCATTGTGATGGCCACTCCAATACCTTGACTTTGTTGTCCTTAAGCCATTTTGCCACAACTTTTGACGTTGGGATGGTGTTCGTCGGCTTGCAAGTCTTCCCCCCTTTTCCTCCAAACATAACGACGGTCATTATGGCCAAACAGTTCTATTTTTGTTTCATCAGACCAGAGGACATTTCTCCAAAAAGTACTATCTTTGTCCACATGTGCAGTTGCAAACCGTAGTCTGGCTTTTTTATGGCGGTTTTGGAGCAGTGGCTTCTTCCTTGCTGAGCGGCCTTTCAGGTTATGTCGATATAGGACTCGTTTTACTGTGGATATAGATACTTTTGTACCTGTCTCCTCCAGCATCTTCACAAGGTCCTTTGCTGTTGTTCTGGGATTGATTTGCACTTTTCGCACCAAAGTACGTTAATCTCTAGGAGACAGAATGCGTCTCCTTCCTGAGCGGTATGACGGCTGCGTGGACCCATGGTGTTTATACTTGCGTACTATTGTTTGTACAGATGAACGTGGTACCTTCAGGCGTTTGGAAATTACTCCCATGGATGAACCAGACTTGTGGAGGTCAACACATTTTTTTCTGAGGTCTTGGCTGATTTCTTTTGATTTTCCCATGACGTCATGCAAAGAGGCACCGAGTTTGAAGGTAGGCCTTCAAATACATCCACAGGTACACCTCCAATTGACTCAAATGATGTCAATTAGCCTATCAGAAGCTTCTAAGGCCATGACATCATTTTCTAGAATTTTCCAAGCTGTTTAAAGGCACAGTCAACTTCGTGTATGTAAACTTCTGACCCACTGGAATTGTGATACAGTGAATTATAAGTGAAATAATCTGTCTGTAAACAATTGTTGGAAAAACTACTTGTGTCATGCACAAAGTAGATGTCCTAACCAAATTGCCAAAACGATAGTTTGTTAACAAGAAAGGTGTGGAGTGTCTGAAAAACGAGTTTTAATGACTCAAACCTAAGTGTATGTAAACAACTATGTGTTGACAGCAGGTGCGCAACTTTGGTTTTAGAAGTGGGGGGGACACATTTTTTTTTTTTTCTTTCTTCAAACAGCCTACCTGACCGCTCGGAGGCGTCCGCATGGTCCTAAAGCACACCATTGCCTGTTTTGTATGCTATTTCAGAATGTGAGGGGGGGGGGGGGGGGGGGGTCGTCCCCCCATCCCCAGTGAAAGTTGCGCCCCTGGGTGACAGTACAGAATCTCACTTTTTATTTAAGGGTATTATCATACACATCCGTTTTACCGTTTAGAAATAAAAGCACTATGTATCTAGTCCCTCCATTTAAAGGTGTCACTATTATTTGGACAAATTCACTTATAGGGCTCCATTTTCAGCTGGCGGTAAGGAGGCGTAAGAGTCAAACGCACGTTAGTTTGCAATTTCCTCATGTAAAATCTGGCGCACTGGCATTTTCCAGCCCTTACGCCAGGTTCGGCAATTTACCGTTCTAACATCAGCTGGCTTGCGCTGAGGTGTGAGAGATAATAATTTAAGTGTGTCCTTAAAAAACATTTACCAATATGCCAATTTCAGTGAGTGCAACTAGGGATATTTAAGACAGATCAAAAGTTGATTTTAGCGGTAACGCAATTGGTTATGGCATTGATTTAGCCATGAATAATGATGAGTGAGAAAGTTACAGATGCACAAAGATCATGCCCCCAAAACATACTAACCTCTCACCATTACCAATAACAGGGGAGGTTAGTATTTTTGGGGGGGATGATATTATGCCTTTCTCACTCATCATTATTCACGATTCATTCATGACTATCCGTAATCATGGTAGCATCCACATTAATGTAGAAGTGCTCAGAAACCTATTATATTCTTATTTACAATAAAAGTGACTCGAAATGACAATACATTATTTACCATTGATTTCTATTGGGAACAACATAATCTGAAACACAACCAAAACAAACTGCAAACGCATCCAACAAGTTTATAGAGTCACAAGCTTGATGTAGTCATTGTGTGCTAGGAATATGGGAAACAAATACTAAACTTTTGAGTAAATGTAATACACTAGAAGTGGAATTTGTCCAAATACCTATGACACCTTCAAATGGGGGGACTAGATCTATAAAGTGCTTTCATTTCTAAATGGTACAACATATGTATGAAAACACACTCAAATAAAAATTTGACATTCTGTAACGTCACCTCATATAAAACATTTGATCTCAAATCCAAAATGGTGGAGTACAGAGCCTAATTAAACGTTTTAGCTTCACTGTCCAAATAAATACGTAGGGGAGTGCATAAAACAATCACCATAGACAGGATGACGTTAGCTAGAGAAAACACACAACCCAACCACGATGGACTATTTTCCACCTTAGGCCCTAAAACTCAATAGACGCATCAAAATCCAACTATTCCCCTTGGTTGATAACCACACCAGGGCAGTAGTGTTCTTACCTTTCTCCTTTGTGATATGCTCAGAGCACCAAAGTCACTGAAGAGTGAAGACATAGGGGAATTAACTGGATCTGGAAGAGGACATAGAGGAAGAGGGAATGAAGACTGTGTTGTCCAAGGGGAGTTTTCCATCGACCCACAACTCTGACCTGGTCCAACTGCGAGGGTTCCATGGAATAGATCTGTCAGTGATTCCATGGGTGTTCCAATCAAAGAGTTAGAAGTAGTTCCAATTATAATTCTACAGTTATAAGTTTCATTGATCTGATACATTAAGTGTTCTGTAGGTACTGGGTTCTAACTTCTTACCATGAGCATTGTGGCTGAAGTTCTTGGCACTGTCGTCAAGGAGACTGGGAGAACTGCTGCTGCTGGTCATTCTCTACACAACAAAGACAAACAAAACACAGATGCTTAAAACTGTACTCTCTTAGTTAGCTAACATATCCTAGCAAAGCAAGCAGCACTGATGTTCTGGAAAGGTACTAGTCTGTAGCAAAATCATTCCCATTAGAACCCACTATATCTGCATCACTGGCTGATTGTCTTGGAATTCTGCTTAGGTGTATGAATCTGGTTGAATTATAGATTAAAATAGACTTCATACCTGCATGATCGCTTGATTGTAATAAACAAGCACCTAGGCATACATTTACATTTACATTTTAGTCATTTAGCAGACGCTCTTATCCAGAGCGACTTACAGTTAGTGAATACATTTTTTTTTTATACTGGCCCCCCGTGGGAATCGAACCCACAACCCTGGCGTTGCAAACGCCATGCTCTATCAACTGAGCTACATCCCTGCCGGCCATTCCCTCCCCTACCCTGGACGACGCTGGGCCAATTGTGTGCCGCCCATGAGTCTCCCGGTCGCGGCCGGCTGCAACAGAGCCTGGATTCAAACCAGGATCTCTAGTGGCACAGTTAGCACTGCGATGCAGTGCCTTAGACCACTGCGCCACTCAGGAGTATACGTAATTAGCTGATTGTCTTTGGACCAGTACTGAACCAGACTTTCTGATTAACATACAAGAATAAGAACACCTTTTCCACATTAGCCAAGTAGCACTATTATTCAGTAATTGACCCGTATTTTCTAATTTACCGTAGATCTAAAGCTGGTACCTGAACACTTGAGTGCATCTGTCCAGTCAGTATTGTATAGTTTAATTCCGAGGCTAGTCATACCTGCATCATTGAGTATTTAGACTCTGCGGGGCTCCCGAAGCCATTGACCCCAATGAAGCTGCTGCTGAAGTAGGAGTTGGTCAGATTGGCATTGCTCAGGGTCCCACCCTCCATACCAGGGACTGCAGAGGACAGGGATGATGGGTTCAGAATTAGACATCCCCTTCTACTACACAGGTACAATCTGGATGGTCCTGTAAATGTCCTATTCAATGTTAGGAAAACATTATGGAGACTGAGACAAGAGATGCCATACAGACTATCAGCATAATGTATTTTCTGGCCAGTTGCTGGTCGAAAGCATCTAAATTAAAGAACAGATCACTTTCTCCCTTAAAGAGTCTCACTCATTGAATAGCTGTGTGAAGCAAAATGCATGTAATGTACAAAAGTCGTCTAATGTTGTAGCCATGAGGCCATTGTTTGACTGTCTTCATTTACAGGACTGGGCCATTACAGATGAGTAGCCAATCAGCAAAGCTTCTTGAGAAGATGTAAACACTTCAACTATCTCCAGTCAGCTAGCTAGCCAACTTCTGTGCAAAATGATAATAATATCCACGTTGCAATCAAACGTGTCCTTCTGCATAGTTTAATGATATCACATACAGCTGTGTGGTGGTTGAAATATGTTGCTAGTTAATTATGCTAATTAGTTAACGCTAGCTAGCTTCTAAGTAAAGGGACTTCACAACACTGCAGCAGCTGTTTTGGGTTAGCATGTAAGCTAGCTAGCCATCCTACTCATGCATGAAGACAACCATGATAAAATATCTCGCTTCCAAACTATTCCACATTAGCTAGCTAACTAGTTAGATGGATTAACTAGCAAGTTAACTTTGCTAATACACGAGTTGCACAAACGTTAATTTGCCATGAACTTTGATTTTGCGAGAGTTGATTATGGCTAGACTAACTTGTTTAGCCATAGTTTGATAGTTAACAAGTTAGCCAATTTTTTCTGAATTTGCCCACTAATGTCTTGAAGCAGTCAAATACAAAACACTGAAATTGCTCACAGTTAGCTAAATGCATTTATTGAAGGAGCTCAAACATTGACGCTGGATGAAAACCTTAGTGTTCAGACACTTTAACTAATTAGGTATACTTAATAGTGTAGCTTGAAAAACATGCTTTGGGGGGCAAAGAGGCCTCAAAGAATCCCCGGCCTCAATTTTAACAAAGCCACGCACACGCCCACAAACCAACAACCCCCGATGAGGATGTGTTAGGCCCTGTCGTGTCGGACAGGGGACAACCAGCCAAGCATACTCACTGGTTAACAGTTGTCCCTCCAGAGCTGGGCCTGCAGCCCCCAGAGAGTCGCTCTTTTTGGGGACGGTCGGTACCCCGACCGGGCAGGCCGGGGGTGCACTAAGCGGATACCCCGCTGCCGTCACGGCTCCTCCTGACATGGATAAAGGGACAGGGCTTCCTCCGCCGTGAAGGGACATGCTTGCCATGGACGGTTCCTCGTGCAAAAACTGACACTCGTCCCCATAAAAGCAAGTCTTGTCCTTTGCGTAGTATCGGCAGAACTTCACCTTGACGCAGGGTATTCCGACACCCCCGAGTGGAGCAGCTGAAGCTGGGAGTCCACTGTTCATGGCACCGCTGCTGCCGCCGGAAAATATTCGAACATAGAGAGACGTCGATTGCTAGCTAGCTTGCTCTCGAGCAGGGTTCGATTAATGTCAATGCAAAGCGATATGCAACAGCAAATATGATTCGTCCTCACCTAAAATGACATCACCCACATATCCATCTAGATGACAAATAATTGAGATAAGGACATTGCGTTTGATAAATCCTGGTCGCTTTTGTCGCTACCCATGTAGCTGGCCTAGCTAGTAGCTAGCCTGTTGTTGAGCCTCGTTCACCCTTCTTGTTGTTGTTTTCTGCTCTCTGGCTACTCCGCTAAGAACCAGCTAGCATAGCATTGCATTATGGGTAGCTTGCTACAACGCAAGGGGACCGGGTGTAATCATTAGTCCAACCAGTTGCAAAACAACGAAAACTACCGTTTCTATTAGACAAATTCAGGTAGGTTTCGTTCCGTTTGCTTCCGTTTAAGAAACGTTTTGCAACAGGATCGACGTAATGAATATGCCCCATGTGTATGGAACCAACGATTTCCTTTATAGAAATATGTTAGTTTGTCACCAAACCCAATCGTTGTATAGAATATGCCGTCATAAAAGTGCAAGTGACGTTTGATATTAAACCTCTGTGATGCAGCAAACCACTGATGTCACACAACAGGCTGATTGTCATGTTACACTGTAGCAAGCCAACAGTTACAGTGGGGGAAAAAAGTATTTAGTCAGCCACCAATTGTGCAAGTTCTCCCACTTAAAAAGATGAGAGAGGCCTGTCATTTTCATCATAGGTACACGTCAACTATGACAGACAGATTGAGAAAAAAATATCCAGAAAATCACATTGTAGGATTTTTTATGAATTTATTTGCAAATTATGGTGGAAAATAAGTATTTGGTCACCTACAAACAAGCAAGATTTCTGGCTCTCACAGACCTGTAACTTCTTCTTTAAGAGGCTCCTCTGTCCTCCACTCGTTACCTGTATTAATGGCACCTGTTTGAACTTGTTATCAGTATAAAAGACACCTGTCCACAACCTCAAACAGTCACACTCCAAACTCCACTATGGCCAAGACCAAAGAGCTGTCAAAGGACACCAGAAACAAAATTGTAGACCTGCACCAGGCTGGGAAGACTGAATCTGCAATAGGTAAGCAGCTTGGTTTGAATAAATCAACTGTGGGAGCAATTATTAGGAAATGGAAGACATACAAGACCACTGATAATCTCCCTAGATCTGGGGCTCCACGCAAGATCTCACCCCGTGGGGTCAAAATGATCACAAGAACGGTGAGCAAAAATCCCAGAACCACACGGGGGGACCTAGTGAATGACCTGCAGAGATCTGGGACCAAAGTAACAAAGCCTACCATCAGTAACACACTACGCCGCCAGGGACTCAAATCCTGCAGTGCCAGACGTGTCCCCCTGCTTAAGCCAGTACATGTCCAGGCCCGTCTGAAGTTTGCTAGAGTGCATTTGGATGATCCAGAAGAGGATTGGGAGAATGTCATATGGTCAGATGAAACCAAAATATAACTTTTTGGTAAAAACTCAACTCGTCGTGTTTGGAGGACAAATAATGCTGAGTTGCATCCAAAGAACACCATACCTACTGTGAAGCATGGGGGTGGAGACATCATGCTTTGGGGCTGTTTTTCTGCAAAGGGACCAGGACGACTGATCCGTGTAAAGGAAAGAATGAATGGGGCCATGTATCGTGAGATTTTGAGTGAAACCTCCTTCCATCAGCAAGGGCATTGAAGATGAAACGTGGCTGGGTCTTTCAGCATGACAATGATCCCAAACACACCGCCCGGGCAACGAAGGAGTGGCTTCGTAAGAAGCATTTCAAGGTCCTGGAGTGGCCTAGCCAGTCTCCAGATCTCAACCCCATAGAAAATCTTTGGAGGGAGTTGAAAGTCCGTGTTGCCCAGCGACAGCCCCAAAACATCACTGCTCTAGAGGATATCTGCATGGAGGAATGGGCCAAAATACCAGCAACAGTGTGGGAAAACCTTGTGAAGACTTACAGAAAACGTTTGACCTGTGTCATTGCCAACAAAGGGTATATAACAAAGTATTGAGAAACTTTTGTTATTGACCAAATACTTATTTTCCACCATAATTTGCAAATAAATTCATTAAAAATCCTACAATGTGATTTTCTGGATATTTTTCTCTCATTTTGTCTGCCATAGTTGACGTGTACCTATGATGAAAATTACAGGCCTCTCTCATCTTTTTAAGTGGGAGAACTTGCACAATTGGTGGCTGACTAAATACTTTTTTCCCCCACTGTAGGACAGTTTGTTACGTTGTAGCAGGCTAAGCACAGTATTCCTTATCCCTTTGACATTTCATCAATCATTGGATTACTCGTTATTTGTATTATGTTAGCAACTATGAAAGTAATTACTTGATAAAGACATTTCTGTAAAATAAAATACCTATGGGCATACAAAAATATTATTATCAATCCAAATGAAAATGTGAGAATATGTGAACATTAAAGACTAAATAAAGATGTGTGATATTTTATATACATTTGGTTTCATTGTATTAGGTTATTAGAAATATTGCCATAAAAGAAGTAGGTGGTTATTACATAAAGGCCTATAGGCTCTAGTTCATCACCAGGTTATAGTAGGTTAGAATAGGTAGTCTAGCACTTAGAGCTTTGGGCCAGAAACCAAAAGGTTGCTGGTTTGAATACCTGAGCCGACAAGGTGAATAGTCTGTCGATGTGCCCTTGAGAAAGGCACTTAACCCTAATTTGATCCAGTTTTGATTCACTTAACCCTAATTTGACGCTGTACTACTACCCTGTAAAACAACACATTTCACTGCAACCTATCCGGTGTATGTGACAATATACACTAAATATACAAAAGTATGTGGACACCCCTTCAAATTAGTGGATTCGGCTATTTCAGCCACACCCATTGCTGACAGGTGTATAAAATCAAGTACACAGCCATGCAATCTCCATAGACAAACATTGGCAGTAGAATGACCTTACTGAAGAGCTCAGTGACTTTCAACATGGCACCGTCATAGGATACAACCTTTCCAACAAGTCAGTTCGTCAAATTTCTGCCCTACTAGAGCTGCCCCGGTCAACTGTAAGTGCTGTTATTATGAAGTGGAAATGTCTAGGAGCAACAACGGCTCAACCCCGAAGTGGTAGGCCACACAAGCTCACAGAACGGGACCGCCAAGTGCTGAAGCACGTAGCGCATAAACATTGTCTGTCCTCGGTTGCAACACTCACTACCGAGTTCCAAACTGCCTCTGGAAGCAACGTCAGCACAATAGCTGTTTATCGGGAGCTTCATGAAATGGGTTTCCATGGCCGAGTAGCCGCACACAAGCATAAGATCACCATGTGCAATGCCAAACATCGGCTGGAGTGGTGCAAAGCTCACCGCCATTGGACTCTGGAGCAGTGGAAACGGACAAATCTGGGTTTGGCGGATGCCAGGAGAACGCTACCTGCCCCAATGCATAGTGCCAACTGTAAAGTTTGGTGGAGGAGGAATAATGGTCTGGGACTGTTTTTCATGGTTCGGTCTAGGCCCCTTAGTTCCAGTGAAGGGAAATCTTAACGCTACAGCATACAATGACATTGTAGACGATTCTGTGCTTCCAACTTTATGGCAACAGTTTGGGGAAGGCCCTTTCCTGTTTCACCATGACAATGCCCCCATGCACAAAGCGAGGGCATACAGAAATGGTTTGTCGAGATCGGTGTGGAAGAACTTGACTGGCCTGCACAGAGCCCTGACCTTAACCCCATCAAACACCGACACTGTTTTTCAGTCTCTCAGTCCCAGCTTTGATGCACCTGTACTGACCTCGCCTTCTGGATGATAGCGGGGTGAACAGGCAGTGGCTCGGGTGGTTGTTGTCCTTGATGATCTTTTTGGCCTTCCTGTGACATTGGGTGCTGTAGGTATCCTGGAGGGCTGGTAGTTTGCCTCCGGTGATGCGTTGGGCAGACCGCACCACCCTCTGGAGAGCCCTGCAGTTGCGGGCGGTGCAGTTGCCGTACCAGGCGGTGATACAGCCCGACAGGATGCTCTCAATTGTGCATCTGTAAAAGTTTGTGAGGGTTTTAGGTGCCAAACCAAATTTATTCAGCCTCCTGAGGTTGAAGAGGCGCTGTTGTGCCTTCTTCACCACACTGTCTGTGTGGGTGGACCATTTCAGTTTGTCAGTGATGTGTACGCCAAGGAACTTGAAGCTTTCCACCTTCTCCACTGCGGTCCCGTCGATGTGGATAGGGGGGTGCTCCCTATGCTGTTTCCTGAAGTCCACGATCATCTCCTTTGTTTTGTTGACGTTGAGTGAGAGGTTAGTTTCCTGGCATCACACTCCCAGAGCCCTCACCTCCTCCCTGTAGGCTGACTCGTCATTGTTGGTAATCAAGCCTACTACTGTTGTGTCGTCTGCAAACTTGATGATTGAGTTGGAGGGTGCTTGGCCACTCAGTCATGGGTGAACAGGGAGTACAGGAGGGGGCTGAGCACGCACCCTTGTGGGGCCCCAGTGTTGAGGATCAGCGAAGTGGAGATGTTGTTTCCTACCTTCACCACCTGGGGGCGGCCCATCAGGAAGTCCAGGACCCAGTTGCACAGGGCGGTGTTCAGACCCAGGACCTCAAGCTTAATGATGAGCTTGGAAGGTACTATGGTGTTGAATGCTGAGCTATAGTCAATGAACAGCATTCTTACATAGGTATTCCTCTTGTCCCGATGGGATAAGGCAGTGTGCAGTGTAATGGCGATTGCATCATCTGTGGATCTATTGGGGTGGTAAGCAAATTGAAGTGGGTCTAGGGTGGCAGGTAAGGTAGAGGTGATATGATCCTTGACTAGTCTCTCAAAGCACTTCATGATGACATAAGTGAGTGCTACGGGGTGATAGTCATTTAGTTTAGTTACCTTTGCTTTCTTGGGTACATGGACATTGGTGTCCATCTTGAAGCATGTGGGTACAGCAGACTGGGATAGGGAGAGATTGAATATGTCTAAACACACCAGCCAGCTGGTCTGCGCATGCTCATGAACCTTCAAATCCCAAAGTCTCTCTGAAAAAGAACCACAGATCAAACGTCACACTTAAAATATATCTTCTTGGGGCCGCACTCTCGAGAGCCTCTCATTATGAAACAAAGAGACACAGCTTGAACACCAATGCCAGTGAAGGGAAAGAGCAGAGTTCTCATCGGTGAGTTATTAAAATCCTCAACAACGTTTTTAATTGCAAAAATAATCAATGGAATATTATTATCTCTAATCACATTATTACATTTTTTGCCTTATGTCCAACGACTGTTTTATTCGATAACCTTAAAGTAACAATCAATGTCCTAGCCTATATATTCTCCAAATACATTTTATAATTTGAAAAGAACGTACATTGTCTATGTTGCGCAAAACTATATGCTGAATTTTATACATTCCCATAGTCGCAACTTCCCCAATTGGCCTATCACCCACCTGCTGCGTATCATTTTGTAGTTTTTTCTGCATCAAAAGTTTTTTGTCTTTATCTGAAATAAAAACATAACAACAAGTTGATGATTCTTCGTGTTGATTGGCTATTATAAACTCTTTTGCGTTTCGCTGATCTCGTTCTCTCTCCAGCTGCGCTCCTGTTGCTGTGCGCCGGTTGTGATGGAGACGAGTCGCAGCCCCAGGGAGACTCACCTCCAGCGCACTGTACCACGAGCCTGGAGGTAGGTGCCTAAACTGTGCATCCGTGGGATTATAATTGACCAAACTGACCGGTCACTCACTATAGGCCTATGGCACATCAGGTTTTGGCCTCATCCAGGTTTTCAACAGTTATTAAATTAGCCAGGAACGCGAAAGGAGAGAGGGCGAACTGCAGCCGGTGACTGTTGCGGCAATGTACACTCAGTGTACAAAACATTAGGAACACCTGCTCTTTCCATGACATAGACTGACCAGGTGAATCTAGGTGAAAGCTATGATCCCTTATTGATGTCACTTGTTAAATCGACTTAAATCAGTGTAGATGAAGGGGAGGAGACAGGTTAAAGAATGATTTTTCAGCCTTGAGACAGTTGAGACATGGATTGTGGATTGTGTTTGTGTGCCATTCAGGGGGGTGAATGGGCAAGACAAAATATTTAGGGCGGCAGGTAGCTTAGTGGGTAAGAGCGTTGTGCCAGTAACCGAAAGGTCGCTGGTTCTAATCCCCGAGCCGACTAGGTGAAAAATCTGTCGATGTGCCCTTAAGCAAGGCACTTAACCCTAAATGCTCCTGTAAGTCGCTCTGGATAAGAGCTTCTGCTAAATGACGTAAATGTAAAATGTTTAAACCTTGAGACAATTGTGAATGGGCACGGCAAAATATTTAAGTGCCTTTGAACGGGGTATGGTAGTAGGTGTCAGGCGCACGGGTTTGAGTGTGTCAACAACTGCAACGCTGCTGGGTTTTTCATGCTCAACAGTTTCTTGTGTGTATCAAGAATGGTCCACCACCCAAAGGACATCCAGCCAACTTGACACAACAGTGAGACGCATTGGAGTCAACATGGGCCAGCATTCCTGTGGAACGCTTTCGACACCTTGTAGAGTCCATGCCCTGACGAATTGAGGCTGTTCTGAGGGCAAAAGGGGGTGCAATTCAATATTAGGAAGGTGTTCCTAATGTTTTGTACATTCAGTGTATGTCACGCACAGTAAAGAAAGACCCTTAGGTTCTTGTTTAATTATTTCTTATTAAAGTGAATGGTTGTCGGAGATTCCATATGGAAGCCCATTACCGCCACCAATTCTTATTTTTATTTTTTATTTTTTTACCTTTATTGTATCAGGGAGTCATACTGAGACCAAGGTCTCTTTTACAAATGAACCATGAATTACAGAAATTACAGAAAATACACACATCAAAATATAAATACAAAATGCAAGCAGAAAGAAAAACATGGTCATAAAAAACAAACACATTCATCAGTAATAAGGTCCTCAATAAGCTTTCTGAATTGCCCTAGAGAGACCAAAACATCAAATTTAAGAACACTTTGTAGATTGTTCCACAAATAAGGTGCAAGAAAACTGATTTACCTAACTCAGTAGAGAGTCACTATATGCATTCAATACTAATATCAAGTCAATAACGTTTTTCTGTATTACAATGAAGGCAGATAGCATACACAACAGTATCATTTACATTTTTAGAAGACGCTCTTTTCCAGAGCAACTAGGGTTAAGTGCCTTGCTCAAGGGCACATCAACAGATTTTTCACCTAGTCAGCTTGGGGATTAGAACCAGCGACCTTTCAGTTACTGGCACAACGCTCTTAACCACTAAGCTACCTGCCGCCCTAGCATACAAGTAGTGCAGGTGACAATTTTTTTACAAACAAGTCAATATTGTTAATGTAAACAGTAAAATCCAGGAAACCTGATTTAACACCGTCAGTAGAATCACATTGACTTCTATCTGTCAAGTAATTTTTAAACCAGTTATATGCAGCCTGGTCTAGGCCAATTGAGGAAAGCCTCTGCAGGGTGCATGGTGAATTAGCAGTGAGTGAACAACAGTATCAAAAGCTTTTGACAGGTCAACGAAGAGGGCAGCACAATGTTGCCTTTTATCCATACAGTTAACCACATCATTTATAACTAGGGATGCAGCAGAGATAGTGCTATGACCTGGTCTAAAACCTGACTGCTGGGTCACTCAAGGACATTCAGAGACTTGTCCCGAAGCCACTCCTTCATTGCCTTGGCTGTGTGCTTAGGGTCGTTGTCCTGTTGGAAGGTAAATCTTCACCCCAGTCTGAGGTCCTGAGCGCTCTGGAGCAGGTTTTCATCAAGGATCTCTCTGTACTTTGCTCCGTTCATCTTTCCCTCGATCCTGACTAGTCTCCCAGTTCCTGCCACTGAAAAACATCCCCACAGCATGATGCTGCCACCACCATGCTTCACTGTAGGGATAGTGCCAGGTTTCCTCCAGATGTGACGCTTGGCATTCAGGCCAAAGAGTTCAATCTTGGTTTCATCAGACCAGAGAATCTTGTTTCTCATGGTCTGAGAGTCCTTTAGGTGCCTTTTGGCAAACTCCAAGCGGACTGTCGTGCCTTTTACTGAGGAGGGGCTTCTACCATAAAGGCCTGAGTGGTGGAGTGCTGCAGAGATGGTTGTCCTTCTGGAAGGTTCTCCCATCTCCACAGAGGAACTCTGGAGCTCAGTCAGAGATCTAAAATCAGAGGGGGTATCAGCTCATTCCCATAAGAGCTAACAGGCATAGGGTCATCTGGAGTTATTTGCTGTGCTGAGGCGGGCCGGGTCTGGTTGTGCTGTGCTGTGATGGGCCGGTTCTGGTAGAGCTGTGCCGAGGCGGACCGGGTCTGGTAGCATGAGAGGGAGGTTTTAGGGGGAATTGAAGAGGTAGGTGTGGAAGCAAACTCTGCATGGGGTCTCTTTGACTGCATACGGCTTGGGCATAGCTCAGTGTATCTGCATGTAGTTCCTGGTAGAGAAGTGGTGGAGGGATGTGTCGGGGGCAGTGTTGCTGGCTGTTCTCCAGTCTCTGTGAGGCGCCACCACTTCTTGTGTAGAGCTGTGTGCCAAGCATTAGGATCATCGGTGTAGAACAGAAGGTCTCCTTTTATTTCCTTGTTCGCTTTTAGGATGAAGTCTGCCCTCAGAGTCTCTGGGGATTCTCTTAGCAATTAAATATTTTAATTATAATTTTTCCTGACTCACTTGTAACATTTTCAGGATACGTGATGGCAAGGTCTCTGAAACAATGCTTAGAGAATGCATCCATCTTCATCTCCATGGTGACCTCTTTAAACAAGACTCTGCTCTAGAATTATGTACATGTGCCTCTTGATGCACCTATAGATACATTCAATTTTTAAACAATGCACTTTTATGAAAAATACAAATAAAAATGTTAAATGTGTTTTTCAATGAAACAACACATTACACATAAATGAAGATACTCTCTCAATGTTCAGGATGTTTCTACCTCCTTTCCAAGTGCTATTTTGCTTGTTTGTTTGTTAGTCTGAAAGCTTGTTTCCCTATCAAGGCCTGAACTATCCTCCAGAAATCCCTCAGAAATTCCTCTGTTGGTTTTGTGTTTGTTTATCTATGTCCTAATTCTTATTATTGTACTTGTTGGGTTTATAGTCCCCCAATCCCATTCCTTCCCTGTGTTGCATGATGATTCAGCAGATGAGCCTTGAAAGAACCAAGTCGATCAATTTCTCAAAATCTCTCCAAACTATTTCCACACAAAAAAAAAGTATCTTCCAATTCCTCTAAATGTCGATACTATCTCAATATTTTGAGATGCATAAGTGAAAGTGTTGAGATACTATTTTAAAATTTCAGGATACTATCTCAAAATGTGGAGATTGTAAATCATACAAATAGGATTTTTCATTTGTTTTTATTTTTATTTTATTTCACCTTTAATTAACCAGTTAAGCCAGTTGAGAACAAGTTCTCATTTACAACTGCGACCTGGCCAAGATAAAGCAAAGCAGTGCGATAAAAACAACAACACAGAGTTACATATGGGGTAAAACAAAACATAAAGTCAAAAATACAACAAAATATATATACAGTGTGTGCAAATGTAGCAAGTTATGGAGGTAAGGCAATAAATAGGCTATAGTGCAAAATAATTACAATTAGTATTAACACTGGAATGATAGATGTGCAAGAGATGATGTGCAAATAGAGATACTGGGGTACAAATGAGCAAAATAAATAACAATATAGGGATGAGGTAGTTGGGCGGGCTAATTTCAGATGGGCTGTGTACAGGTGCAGTGATCGGTAAGGTGCTCTGACAACTGATGCTTAAAGTTAGTGAGGGAGATAAGTGTATCCAGCTTCAGAGATTTTTGCAATTTGTTCCAGTCATTGGCAGCAGAGAACTGGAAGGAATGGCGGCCAAAGGAGGTGTTGGCTTTGGGGATGACCAGTGAGATATACCTGCTGGAGCGCATACTACGGGTGGGTGTTGCTATGGTGACCAATGAGCTAAGATAAGGCGGGGATTTGCCTAGCAGTGATTTATAGATGGCCTGGAGCCAGTGGGTTTGGCGACGAATATGTAGTGAGGACCAGCCAACAAGAGCGTACAGGTCACAGTGGTGGGTAGTATATGGGGCTTTGGAGACAAAACGGATGGCACTGTGATAGACTACATCCAATTTGCTGAGTAGAGTGTTGGAGGCTATTTTGTAAATGACATCGGATTGGAGATTCTTAATGTGAGTCTGGAAGGAGAGTTTACAGTCTAACCAGACAACTAGGTATTTGTAGTTGTCCACATACTCTAGGTCAGACCCGTCGAGAGTAGTGATTCTAGTCGGGTGGGTGGGTGCAAGCAGCGTTCGGTTGAAGAGCATGCATTTAGTTTTACTAGTGTTTAAGAGCAGTTGGAGGCTACTGAAGGAGTGTTGTATGGCATTGAAGCTCGTTTGGAGGTTTGTTAACACAGTGTCCAATGAAGGGCCAGATGTATACAAAATGGTGTCGTCTGCGTAGAGGTGGATCTGAGAGTCACCAGCAGCAAGAGCGACATCATTGATATACACGGAGAAAAGAGTCGGCCCAAGAATTGAACCCTGTGGCACCCCCATAGAGACTGCCATAGGTCCAGACAACAGGCCCTCCGATTTGACACATTGAACTCTATCTGAGAAGTAGTTGGTGAACCAGGCGAGGCAGTCATTTGAGAAACCAAGGCTATTTAGTCTGCCAATAAGAATGCGGTGGTTGACAGAGTCGAAAGCCTTGGCCAGGTCGATGAAGACGGCTGCACAGTACTGTCTATTATCGATCGCGGTTATTATATCGTTTAGGACCTTGAGCGTGGCTGAAGTGCACCCATGACCAGCTCGGAAACCGGATTGCATAGCGGAGAAGGTACGGTGGGATTCGAAATGGTCGGTGATCTGTTTGTTAACTTGGCTTTCAAAAACTTTCGAAAGGCAGGGCAGGATTGATATGGGTCTGTAACAGTTTGGATCTAGAGTGTTACCCCCTTTGAAGAGGGGGATGACCGCGGCAGCTTTCCAATCTCTGGGGATCTCAGACGTTACGAAAGAGAGGTTGAACAGGCTACTAATAGGGGTTGCGACAATTTTGGCGGCTAGTTTTAGAAAGAAAGGGTCCAGATTGTCTAGCCCAGATGATTTGTAGGGGTCCAGATTTTGCAGCTCTTTCAGAACATCAGCTGTCTGGATTTGTGTGAAGGAGAAGCGGGGGGGGGCATGGGCAAGTTGCAGCGGAGGGTGCAGAGCTGGTGGCCGGGGTAGTGGTAGCCAGGTGGAAAGCATGGCCAGCCGTAGCAAAATGCTTGTTGAAATTCTCGATTATTGTAGATTTATCGGTGGTGATAGTGTTTCCTAGCCTCAGTGCAGTGGGCAGCTGGGAGGAAGTGCTCTTATTCTCCATGGACTTTACAGTGTCCCAAAACTTTTTGGAGTTAGTGCTACAGGATGCAAATTTCTGTTTAAAAAAGTTAGCCTTTGCTTTCCTAACTGCTTGTGTATATTGGTTCCTAACTTCCCTGAAAAGTTGCATATTGCGGGGGCTATTTGATGCTAATGCAGTACGCCACAGGATGTTTTTGTGCTGGTCAAGGGCAGTCAAGTCTGAGGAGAACCAGGGGCTATATCTGTTCTTAGTTCTGTATTTTTTGAATGGGGCATGTTTATTTAAGATTGAGAGGAAATTACTTTTAAAGAACAACCAGGCATCCTCTACTGATGGAATGAGATCTATATCCATCCAGGATACCTGGGCCAGGTCAATTAGGAAGGCCTGCTCGCTGAAGTGTTTTAGGGAGCGTTTGACAGTGATGAAGGGTGGTCGTTTGACCGCGGACCCGTTACGGACGTAGGCAATAAGGCAGTGATCGCTGAGATCCTGGTTGAAGACAGCGGAGGTGTATTTAGAGGGTAAGTTAGTCAGGATGATATCTATGAGGGTACCCATGTTTACATATTTAGGGTTGTACCTGGTAGGTTCATTGATAATTTGTGTGAGATTGAGGGCATCTAGTTTAGATTGTAGGATGGCCGGGGTGTTAAGCATATCCCAATTTAGGTCACCAAGCAGTACGAACTCTGAGGATAGATGGGGGGCAATCAATTCACATATGGTGTCCAGGGCACAGCTGGGGGCTGAGGGTGGTCTGTAGCAAGCGGCAACAGTGAGAGATTTATTTCTGGAAAGGTGGATTTTTAGAAGTAGAAGCTCAAACTGTTTGGGCACAGACCTGGATAGTATGATAGAGCTCTGCAGGCTATCTCTACAGTATATTGCAACTCCACCCCCTTTGGCAGTTCTATCTAGATGGAAAATGTTATAGTTGGGGATGGAAATTTCAGAATTTTTGGTGGCCTTCCTAAGCCAGGATTCAGACACTGCTAGAACATCAGGGTTGGCGGAGTGTGCTAACGCAGTGAATAACTCAAACTTAGGAAGGAGGCTTCTGATATTTACGTGCAGAAAACCAAGGCTTTTACGGTTACAGAAGTCAACAAATGATAGCTCCTGGGGAGTAGGAGTGATACTGGGGGCTGCAGGGCCTGGGTTAGCCTCTACATCACCAGAGGAACAGAGGAGGAGTAGAATAAGGATACGACTAAAGGCTTTAAGAACTGGTTTCTAGTGCGTTGGGTACAGAGAATAAAGGGGGCAGATTTCCGGGCGTTGTAGAAAAGATTCAGGGCATTATGTACAGAAAAGGATATGGAAGGATATGAGTACAGTTGAGGTAAACCTAAGCGTTGGGTAACAATGAAAGAGATAGCATCACTGGAGGCACCGATTGAGCCGGTCTCGGCGTGTATGGGGGGTGGAACAAAGGAACTATTTGAGGCAGTTTGAGAGGGACTTGGGGTTCTACAGTGAAATTGTATAATAAGAACTAACCCAAACAGCAATAGGCAAGGCATATTGACCTGGGAGAGAGGCATAAAGCAATCACAGGTGTTATTATAGAGAGCTAAGACAACAACTGGTAATAGCGATAAAGTTTGGGCTGAGGCTAAACAGAATAAACAGGACAGGGTACTGTGTAAAGGAACAGTCCAGCAGGCAACAGCTGTGCAGCTGAGTGATCATAAGGTCCAGTGAACAGCAATATGTGAGTCTGAGAGCAGTTCAAATTGGTGCTTCAGCACAGCTAGCAGGAAGCACAGTTGTAGTTTGCGTGTGCTAGCGGGCCGGGGCTGGCAGATGGATCTTCGTGGTCGTCGCAACGGGAAGCCTGTTGAAACCACATCAGACGATTTGTAACATTGTGTGGTGATTTTCAGAGTCCTACAGTGGTGGGGGGGGGAATTGTTTTCCTGGGGCCCATCGTTTTTTCTGATCTGGTGCTAGGCTAACCTAACCAGGTAAAACTCCAGACCCTACTTGTATGGTATGACATACATAAATCAGCTGTTTTATATGGGCTGTGATGGGAGCAGATTTGTCATATGGTCATATGGTTTAAAAAAAAAACGAATGGAAAAACTCCTGGCCCTTGGGAGGATGAAAACATTGAAACCCTGTCAAACTGCAGCAACCTTGTACTTGTTTATAAGAAATATTTTTAAACTAAACTAACAAGAGACAACAAATGCGATTGGACTATAGAACTAACAGGGCTGAGCTTGTTTTATGCAGGGTTGCATAGTACATGCCTTTGCATCTGTAATTAAAAAGTGATTCATTCAGTATGTCATCACTATTGTGTTGATTTATTAATTCCAGTCAATAATCTTTGACTGAGTCGGTAATATCAACATGTTTCAAGCAGACCACCATAGTTCAAGCAGACCACCTGTGCCCAAGAACACTAAGATAACCTGCCTAAATGACTACCGACCCGTAGCACTCAGGTCTGTAGCCATGAAGTGCTTTGAGGCTGGTCATGGCTCACCATTATCCCAGAAACCCTAGACCCACTCCAATTTGCATACCGCCCCAACAGATCCACAGATGATGCAATCTCTACTGCACTCCACACTGCCCTTTCCCACCTGGACAAGAGGAACACCTACGTGAGAATGCTATTCATTGACTATAGCTCAGTGTTCAACACCATAGTGCCCTCAATGCTCATCACTAAGCTAAGGACACTGGGACTAAACACCTCCCTCTGCAACTGGATCCTGGACTTCCTGACGGGCCGCCCCCAGGTGGTAAGGGTAGGTAACAACACATCTGCCATGCTGATCCTCAACACGGGGGCCCCTCAGGGGTCGTGCTCAGTCCCCTCCTGTACTCCCTGTTCACCCATGACTGCATGGCCAGGCACGACTCCAACACCATCATTATGTTTGCAGACGACACAACAGTGGTAGGCCATATCACCGACAACAATGAGACAGCCTATAGGGAGGAGGTCAGAGACCTGGCCGTGTGGTGCCAGGATAACAACCTCTCCCTCAATGCGATCAAGACAAAGGAGATGATTGTGGACTACAGAAAAAAAAGAGGACTGGGCTGTAGTGGAACAGGTTGAGAGATTCAAGTTCCTTGGTGTCCACATCACCAACAAACTATCATGGTCCAAACACACCAAGACAGTCATGAAGAGGGCACGACAAAGCCTATTCCCCCTCAGGAGACTGAAAAGATTTGGCATGGGTTCTACAGCTGCACCATCGAGAGCATCCTGACTGGTTGCATCACTGCCTGGTATGGCAACTGCTCGGCCTCCGACCGCAAGGCACTACAGAGGGTAGTGCGTACGGCCCAGTACATCACTGGGGCCAAGCTTCCTGCCATCCAGGACCTCTATACCAGGCGGTGTCAGAGGAAGGCCCTAAAAATGGTCAAAGACTCCAGCCACCCTAGTCATAGACTGTTCTCCCTGTTACCGCACAGCAAGCGGTACCGGAGCGTCAAGTCTAGGTCCAAAAGGCTTCTTAACAGCTTCTACCCCAAAGCCATAAGACTCCTGAACAGCTAATCATGGCTACCCGGACTATTTGCATTGTCCCCCCTACCCCACCCCCTCTTTTACGCTGCTGCTACTCTCTGTTTATTATCTATGCATAGTCAGTTTAACTCTACCCACATGTATATATTACCTCAATTACCTCGACTAACCTGTGCCCCCGCACATTGACTCTGTACCGGTACCCCCTGTATATAGCCTCTCTACTGTTATTTTTACTTATCTATTTTTTACTTAACACTTATTTTTCTTAAAACTGCATTGTTGGTTAAGGGCTTGTAAGTAAGCATTTCACTGTAAGGTCTACACCTGTTGTATTCGGCGCATGTGGCAAATACAATTTGATTTGATTTGAGGTAGCCTAGCCACCCGAAGTTTAATATAAACCAAATTTGATAAAGACATAGCTTAGGCTATAAATACATGACGTTACCGTTTCGTTTCCCCTGGCCCAGATGGGTTTAGAGCCATAGGCTTCTCTAGGCTACATGCAGCTGTGGTTGTTATCAGTAGGCTACAGTTGACCAGATTGAAGCACAGATTAATCGTGCACGATTTGACAAATCATGAGGCAAAATCAGTCTAAACAACAATACTTTGTCCCTCCTTTCAACGCTTTTGTGTCAATATTTTGTATTAAACCAAATCAAAAGCGCTGGGGCAAATGCCAGCTCACCACACGTTTTCCGGCAGCCCTGCTGTGCTGATCTCTGCAACGTGGATAGATGGAAATCGCCACACAATGCTACAAATGAAGAAACAACCTATATGTATGATCTACTATACATTCTTTGGTTGATGATAGTATCTCAAAATGTTTCCTAACGTATCTCAAAATGTTGAGATAGTATCAAAATTTTATGAAAAAAATGTGGGTGGCGGGAATGTGCTTCCGGAATTCCCACACTGTAAACTTTTCCCTTTAAATGTACAGCATTATACTGGCAGCAAAGTTGCTTAATACGTCATTTTGCATTACAGCAGGGATGCTGTAATATGATTTACAGTATTATTACTGTATACAGATTTATTACTTCATTATGACTGTAATCATTACAGTAACACAGCTGTATTATAATTACAGTATTTTGAGTCACTGTACATTTACAGTGCACTTTTGAGATCAACATCACAAACAGTAAACCTGTTTGTGCATGTATTTATCTTCGGTATTTGTCACGTTCGTTGAGAGACGGGTCAGACCAAGGTGCAGCGTGAAAAGCGTACATGTTTATTTAACTCAAATAAACATACAACAAAACAATAAACAACGTAATGCGAAGTCCTCAGGCTAAACACATACAAGCCTAACACGGAACACAAACAAGATCCCACAACACAGGCAGGAGAACTGGCTGCCTAAGTATGATCCCTAATCAGAGACAACGAGCGACAGCTGCCTCTGATTGGGAATCACACCCGGCCAAACATAGAAATAGAAACATAGAATCCCCACATAGAAAACCCCCCACATATATTCACACCCTGACCAAACTAACTAGAGTCTAAAGGTCAGGGCGTGACAGTCCCCCCCCCCCCCCCCCCCCCCCCCCCAAAGGTGCGGACTCCGGCCGCACAAACCTGACTTAACAGGGGAGGGTCCGGGTGGGCTTCCAGCCTCGGTGGCGGCTCCGGCTCCGGGTGTGACATCTCCTCCCTTACTGACTCCGCGTTGCACCCCTGGACCGGTCTGGACCTCAACGCGGAGCTTCCCCTCTCAGTCCTCCCACGATGCACCGATCCCTGTCTGGACCCTGGTGTGGGAGACTCCGAACCTAGAGAGGGGCTGACGTCTGGACCCGGAGTGGAGCCGCTGACCGGAGCTGAACTGGACACCGGTGGAGCGGACTGCTCTAGCTCCGGAGTGGAGCAGCTGACCGGAGCTGGACTGGACCCCGGTGGAGCGGAATGCTCTGGCTCCGGAGTGGAGCCGCTGACCGGAGCTGGACTGGACCCCGGTGGAGCGGAATGCTCTGGCTCCGGAGTGGAGCAGCTGACCGGAGCTGGACCCCCGGTGGAGCGGAATGCTCTGGCTCCGGAGTGGAGCCGCTGACCGGAGCTGGACTAGGCACCGGTGGAGCCGACTGCTCTGGCTCCGGAGTGGAAATGCTGACCGGAGCTGGACTGGGCACCAGTGGAGCGGACTGCTCAGGCTCCGGAGTGGAGCAGCTGACTGGTGCTGGAGCAGGCCCCGGTGGAACGAGCACGGGCCGTGCCGGACTGGGGACGCGCACCACTGGTCTGGTGCGAGGAGCAGGCACGGGCCGTACCGGACTGGGAACACGCACCACTGGCTTGGTGCGAGGTGCAGGCACGGGCCGTGCCGGACTGGAAACACGCACCACTGGTCTGGTGCGAGGAGCAGGCACGGGTCGGACCGGACTGGGAACACGCACCACTGGTCTGGTGCGAGGAGCAGGAATGGGCCGGGCCGGACTGGGAACACTCACCACTGTTCTGGTGCGAGGAGCAGGAACGGGCCGGGCCGGACTAGGAACACTCACTACTGGTCTGGTGCGAGGAGCAGGAACGGGCCGGGCCGGACTGGGAACACGCACCACTGGCTTGGTGCGAGGAGCAGGAACGGGCCGGACTGGGAACACGCACCACTGGCTTGGTGCGAGGAGCAGGAACGGACCGGGTCGGACTGGGAACACGCACCACTGGCTTGGTGCGGGGAGCAGTTACGGGGCGTACCGGGCTGGCGACACGCACCACTGGTTTGGTGCGAGGAGCAGGGACGGGCCGTACTGGACTGGGAACACGCACCACCGACTTGGTGCGGGGAGCAGGTACGGGGCGTACCGGGCTGGCGACACGCACCACTGGTTTGGTGCGAGGAGCAGGGACGGGCTGTACTGGACTGGGAACACGCACCACTGGTTTGGTGCGGGGAGCAGGTACGGGGCGTACCGGGTTGGCGACACACACCACTGGTTTGGTGCGAGAAGCAGGAACGGGCCGTACTGGACTGGGAACACGCACCACTGGCTTGGTGCGTGGAGCAGGTACGGGGCGTACCGGGCTGGCGACACGCACCACTGGTTTGGTGCGAGGAGCAGGGACGGGCCATACTGAACTGGGAACACGCACCCCTGGTTTGGTGCGGGGCGCAGGCACGGGCCGTACCGGACTGGGAACACGCACCACTGGCTTTGGTGCGGGGAGCAAGTACGGGGCGGGCCGGACTGGGGACCGGCACTGGAGGTCTACGACTGTACCAGTCCTTTACTCTCCGTGCCCAGTCCTCCTCCCATGAGGACTCCTCCTTGAGCCCCCACGAGTGCAGTGGTCAGGGGCTCTTCTCTATCGATCCCCGACCACCCTTTTAGCCCCCCCACAAAATGTTCTTGGGGCTGTCTCGCGGGCTTCCTCCTCGGCCGACGCCTTCTGTGTTCCTCTCCTGCCTGGGCCTCCTCCCAGGGTATTTTTCCTGCCAAAATCTCCTCCCATGTCCAAAAACTCTTCCCCACCTGTGTCCAGGGTGTCTGCTGCTCCTGGGCACACTGCTTGGTCCGTTGTTGGTGGGATCTTCTGAGACGGGTCAGACCAAGGTGCAGCGTGAAAAGCATACATGTTTATTTAACACAAATAAACATACAACAAAACAATAAACAACGTAACGTGAAGTCCTCAGGATAAACACATACAAGCCTAACACGGAACACAAACAAGATCCCACAACACAGGCAGGAGAACTGGCTGCCTAAGTATGATCCCCAATCAGAGACAACGAGCGACAGCTGCCTCTGATTGGGAATCACACCCGGCCAAACATAGAAATAGAAACATAGAATCCCCACATAGAAAAACCCACACATATATTCACACCCTGACCAAACTAACTAGAGTCTAAAGGTCAGGGCGTGACAGTATTTTTCTGATGGCAGGCCTATAGGCTATGTAGAATAATGCTATTTCACATTGCATTGCAGAAGGATGCAGAATTGCTCTGATCATTTTGTAGGTCTGTTGTATTGTGTTCCTGAAGAACCTTGTGAATTTTTTAGAGGGTAATAAAAATGAAATTCTGATGCCTTAACATAACTCTGAAAAGAAGACTCTGACCTCAACAAGGTCAAAATAATACAAATGTATAAGAGAAGAAGGTGGAAACTCACAGGTAGTAGTGGTGATATAGCACCACACCCACTAGCCTACAGGGCCTTCAGAAAGTATTCATATCCCTTGACTTATTCCACATTTTGGAACATTCAGTGTCGTTTTGGTAAGCAACTGCATTGTATATTTGGCCTTGTGTTTTAGGTTATTGTCGTGCTGAAAGGGGAATTTGTCTCCCAATATTTGTTGGAAAGCAGACCGAACCAGATTTTCCTCTAGGACTTTGCCTGTTCCGTAAAAAAATAAAATAAAATAAAACTCCCTAGTCCTTGCCGATGACAAGTATACCCATAACATGATGCAACCACCACCATGCTTGAAAATATGAAGAGTAGTACACAGTGATGTGTTGTGTTGGATTTGACCCAAACATAAGGGCAGCATGTAGCCAAGCAACTAAGAGCGTTGGGCCAGTAACCAAAAGGTCGCTGGTTCAAATCCCTGAGCTGATTAGGTGAAAAATGTATCGATGTGCCCTTAAGCAAGGCACTTAATCCTAATTGCTTCTGTAAGTCGCTCTGGATAAGAGTGTCTGTTAAATTATTAAAATGAAGTAACGCTATTTATTCAGGATATAAAGCTAATTTCTTTGCCACGTTTCTTGCAGTTTTACTTTAGTGCCTTATTGCAAACAGAATGCATGTTTTGGAATTATTTTATTCTGTACAGGCTTCCTACTTTTCACTCTGTCATTTAGGTTAGTATTGTGGAGTAACTACAATGTTGTTGATCCATCCTTAGTTTTCTTCTATCACAGCCATTAAACTCTGTAACTGTTTTAAAGTCACCATTCATGGTGAAATCCCTGAGCAGTTTCCTTCCTCTCCGGCAACTGAGTAAGAAGGACGCCTGTATTTTTGTAGTGACTGGGTGTATTGATACACCATCTAAAGTGTAATGAATAACTTCACCATGCTCAAAGGGATATTCAGTGTCTGCTTCTTTTATTTTTACCCATCTACCAATAGGTGTCCTTCTTTTTGCGAGGCATTGGAAAACCTCCCTGGTCTTTGTGATTGAATCTGTGTTTGAAATTCACTGCTCAACTGAGGGACCTTGAATGTGTGGGGTACAGAGATGAGGTAGTCATAAAAAAATAATGTTAAACACTATTATTGCAAACAGAGTGAGTCCATGCAACTTATTACATGACTTGTTAAGCTATTTTTTACTCCTGAACTTAATTAGCCTTGCCGTAATAAAGGGGTTGAATACTTATTGACTCAAGGCATTTCAGTTTTTCATTTTTAATCAATTTGTAAAAAATCCTAAAAACATAATTCCACTTTGACATTATGGGGTATTGTGTGTAGGCCAGTGAGCCAAAATATCAATTTAATCAATTTAAAATTCAGACTGTAACACAACAAAATGTGTAAAAGGTCAATGGGTCTAAATACTTTCTGAAGGCACTGGGTGTTCCTGTCATACACAGTGTAAAACATTTTCATAACACATGCTTTGAGATGCAGTCCTCTAAATATGACCAAGTCAAAGAGAAAAAGCGGAACTGCTATTTTAATAGAAAGTCAACGAAATGTACAATTGACATTCTCGCATGGCTTCTGGTACTTTCCAAATTTAAACAAAGTTTGATGAATGTCTGACATTTGTGACCGAACAACTTAATGATTATTCTGAATACTGATCTCTATTCACTTTCAAAAGCCACATCATTTTACAGCTGGTCTTCCTCTCTGATTTTCTCTCCCTGACATGGTGACATGTTGTTCTGTGTTCCAGGGAGTGTTGTGTACTCTGTCTGAAGCCCATCTGAATGGTTCTGGTCCTACCAGACTAGAGGTCTCTGCTGGACAGAGGCTCCTGATCATCATGCAGAGCCTCCCAGGAGACCCTGTCTGCAGCTGGAGCCGTGGAGCTGACCCAAAAAGGTGTGTGTGTTTGTTGTTTTACCCGGCGCCTCAAGGCCACTGGGTTATAGTATTGTTATTGCATCCATAGGGGTGTACTTTAGCATCCCTGCAGACTTCATCTATAGTTGTTTGTCCTGCCAACAGATGGGGCTATTCCATGGCCATACCACAGACACCTGTGAGTGATTCTGGAGAGTACACATTCAGCTGTGAGAGAGGCGGGATCAACTCCTCTCTGACCCTCTCTCTACTGGTTAGACCTCTGAGTGAGTGACAGCCCCATGACCCAATACTCTTTCTATTTTGGACCTCAAAGCTCCTCAGACTACCCAAAACCATATTCACTGCATCCTCTCCATCGCTACAAAATCATAATAAAAAATTATGTTCTAAACCACACAATCATTTGAAATCATATTTAGATCTACACCACATTCATGTCTTATATCAGAGTTGTATCTATAGCACCATCTTGATTCTGAACCACATTTAAATGATGTTTGACACAAAATTCATAGCTACGGCTCATTCTCCCCTCTCTAGGACTCCCCACAAAACCACAGTTGAAATATATCCCTGGGAAAAAAGGCTTCTTACCAGACTTTCAGTGTTCTTCAGAGGGAAACCCCAAGCCAAAGATCAAATGGTTCAATAACCTTGACAAGACTGGGTACGGTCTCACAAAACTTCAATGAAAATATATAGAATCGTAAAGAAGTGTCTTCAGGGTATTGCTTTAGAGTTTTATAAAGCAATGGCTATACATGATTTCAATCTCAGCCATCAATAGCAGCCGTACCATGGTTTCATTTCTCCTCCGCTCCAACAGAAAAGGAAGTGATGGGACAGACATTCCATCTACGAACAAAGAGAGGGCTAACAACACAGAGAAAAGTACAAATTACTACAGGACAACAGTTATGTGCTGTGCTAGCAATTCTGAAGGAGAGGCGTGTTCTCAACTATATGATTACGGTAAGGTAACCACTAAACAAAAGTCACCAAATGACAATATTACATTTACAGTACACTATACAGTGAGCATGACCATATGTGATTTGCTGTGTGTGCATCAGATCTGGACCGTGTCAGTGGTAAGGATGATGAGGCTCCAGAGATCACTGTGAGTCTTGGGCAGCCCCTGCTGCTCAGCTGTCGGCAGAAAAGGGACAGCGCCACACAGTGGCTGACTGACAACCAGGAACCAGTAGGCTTTATCACTCCGACTATATTTTCTTCAAATTTTATCAGCCTTCTCTTCACTCTGCTGAAAACTCTTCCACCTTTCCCATCACGACTTTCTCACTATATTCATGTAATGCAGATGGAATGCAGTATACAATCTTTTCCTCCAGATCCCCAAATATCGATTCACATATAAAGAAATAGATGTGACCTACCTGTTCATTGAGTCAGTGAGAGTGAACCACAGTGGAATCTATACGTGCTGGAGCAACAAGAACAAGATGAAATCCACCCACGTCCAGGTCCTAGGTCAGTTTCCAGGCAACAACACCGAATCTTCCTCGTTACCTTTGTTTTCAGTCAAACGTTCCCTTTTAAATGTCTATCTGTACTTGGTCTTTACTAATCTGTCAGACAAATTCCTGTTATCTATCCTGATTCTCTTTTTATCACCACCTACCTGCCTGTTTTTGCTCAAAATGTGATTTACATGTGATTTCCTGTGTTGTGTGTCCTCAGAGAAGGGCTTCATTTCCATCGACCAGCTCAATGAGAGCAGTACCATCTCAGCCCAGGAGAAGCCAGGGTTCTGTCTGCGGGCCCTGGTCTCCTCACACCCTCTCCTACGCTGCCATTGGCTGGGCCCGGACAGCAGACAGACCCAGTGCCCTGAGCCCACACGGCTCTGGAAGAACAGGTAGAGAACTTCAGATGGTGTAGACAGAGATATGGTTTAGTCTTTGTCCTCCACACACATCCATGTAATTTGGTATGTTTTAATGTACCGGTAGTTCTGTTTATGTGGTTTGATGAGGTTTGATGTGGATACTGTATATGATTCCCTATGGTTTGATGTGGATACTGTATATGATTCCCTGTAGTTTGATGTGGATACTGTATATGATTCCCTGTGGTTTGATGAGGTTTGATGTGAATACTGTATATGATTCCCTGTGGTTTGATGAGGTTTGATGTGGATACTGTATATGATTCCCTGTGGTTTTATCATCCTTCTCTTTCTCCCCAGGACTCTGGAGTTGTGTAACACTGAGCCAGGAGAGTACCAGTTACACCTGGAGGCTGGGGAGCTGAACCTCACAAAGAGCCTCTCTCTGTGTGTGGCAGGTGAGTGACAGCCGACTGCCCAGACAGATAAGACTTGTGATTGTGTGCATGACTCCTCATTAAGACACGTGTCCTTCTCCTCTGTCTCTCAGGTACGTCCACCCTCAGTATTTTACAGAATGGAGACAGCATCACCTGTGAGACCAACACCCCCCTCCCCTTTAACCTCACCTGGCGCTCCTGCTCTCTGACCAATGACAGGTACTAGATCTAGGCCAGTTTCTCATGTTAGGATTCAGTTCTATAGTGGTAGGCACCAATATCGATAATTCGATATGATAACGATATCATTTGATATCGATATGAGCAAGGCATATCATGATATCAGTTTATCCTTGCTGTTAACCTACACTGTTGTGTAAAAGAGCATGAGTGACTGTTCTTGCAACCCTCTCACAGTCTCTCAACATAGCATATGCCTACTTAACTGCCTGCTGATGCCATCACATGTCTTTACCCTGATGCGCAACGCTCCCCACCTCTGCTTCGGCGTAACAGCAGCCTAGGGGCGGACAGTGGCGCTGTTTCCCCCTACTGCGGATTCCATCTTTAACCTGTGTGTGTTAACCTGTGTGTGTTTACCTGTGTCTGTTAACCTGTGTGTGCTTACCTGTGTCTGTTAACCTGTGTGTGTTAACCTGTGTGTGTTAACCTGTGTCTGTTAACCTGTGTGTGTTTACCTGTGTCTGTTAACCTGTGTCTGTTAACCTGTGTGTGTTAACCTGTGTCTGTTAACCTGTGTGTGCTTACCTGTGTCTGTTAACCTGTGTGTGCTTACCTGTGTCTGTTAACCTGTGTCTGTTAACCTGTGTCTGTTAACCTGTGTGTGCTTACCTGTGTCTGTTAACCTGTGTGTGCTTACCTGTGTCTGTTAACCTGTGTCTGTTAACCTGTGTGTGTTAACCTGTGCTCACCTCCAGCTGTCAGTCAGAGTCTTCAGCCTGGAAGGAGATCCCTGCCCCTCCCCCGGAGCTCTCTGACTCAGACCAGTTCTGCCATAAGAGGGTCCTCAGCTCCCTGGACAGTACCGAGGTGGGGGACTTTGTCAAGTGCTGCATCACAAACTCTGTCCACTTACAGTCACACTGCAGTGAGACACTGTTCAACATACAACGTAAGTGGTCGGTCAGGAAAAAATGGTCCTCTGAAAAATATTTTACAGCTTTAAATATGTTTAAAATGGATGTCCCAGTGTGGAACAGAATTGGTCACAGTATTGTCATAGCTGTAGCCAGACATTAGTTATATCTGTCGATGTGTGTTCCATCAGCCTCCTCTCAACTCCTGAAAGTGTCCAGTCTGGTCCTGTTGCTGGCTTTGATGCTGGTCAGCGTGGCACTACTCTACTTCATCAGGAAGAAGGTACACACACACACATACACATACACACACACAAATGCTCCCTTTTTGTCACACACCTTCCTGATATTTCATGTGTAGAAACCCCAGTATCAGAGTCAGGTGCAGATGATCCAGATGGTAGGGCCTAATGACAACGACTACATCTACATCAACTTCAAAGACTTCCAGTACGACCAGAAATGGGAGTTCCCCAGAGAGAACCTGGAGCTGGGTAAGACTGGGGAGATGTACCAGTGGAATGACTTAGCCTGACCCATCTACTTGGCAATCTCTAGTCTCCAGTACAGCCAGCCTCACCAATAGTATTCCCACAAACCCTGTGTTGTGGTCTTTCCCCCCAGGGAAGGAGCTGGGCTCTGGGGCCTTTGGCATGGTGGTTCAGGCTACAGCCTACGGCATCAGCAAGCCTGGGGTCTCCCTGCAGGTGGCTGTCAAGATGTTGAAAGGTACAGGGTTTTACCTGTGTGATGTTTTACGCTGCTGGCTAAGTGTTGGTGTTTGCTGAAGACACTTTTGTCATACTATTTTACCCTGCACCAGTGAAGTCTCTCAGGTCATTGTTGAGTGTTAACGTTTGTCCATGCAGAGAAGCATGAGGCATTGGAGAAGGAGGCTCTGATGTCAGAGCTGAAGATGCTGACTCACATCGGACAGCATGCCAACATTGTCAACCTGCTGGGGGCGTGCACTGGCTCAGGTACGACAGCCAATCATAGGCTCAGAAACAAGCATCTGGCAGAAATAACATAGAACTAACTAGGTCATGTAACTGCTAAGGGCCAAGATATGTTTAGATATTGTATTGAAATGAGTCCATGTGTATGTATGTATTGTCTGTGTCTGTGACTCTGTGACTGTGTGTGGCTCTGTGACTGTGTGTGACTCTGTGAGGCTCTGTGACTGTGTGTGACTCTGTGACTGTGTGTGACTCTGTGACTGTGTGTGGCTCTGTGTGGCTCTGTTACTGTGTGTGGCTCTGTGACTGTGTATGACTGTGACTGTGTGTGGCTCTGTGACTGTGTGTGGCTCTGTGACTGTGTGTGACTGTGTGGCTCTGTGACTGTGTGTGACTCTGTGACTGTGTGTGGCTCTGTGAATGTGTGTGGCTCTGTGACTATGGGTGGCCCTGTGACTGTGTGTGACTCTGTGACTGTGTGTGGCTCTGTGACCGTGTGTGGCTCTGTGACTGTGTGTGGCTCGTGACTGTCTGACTTGTGTGCCTGTGACTGTGTGTGATCTGTGACTGTGTGGGCTCTGTGACTGTGTGTGGCTCTGTGACTGTGTGTACGATGTGATGTGTGGCTCTGTGACTGTGTGTGGCTCTGTGACTGTGTGTGGCTCTGTGACTGTGTGTGGCTTGTGTGGCTCTGTGACCGTGTGTGGCTCTGTGACTGTGTGTGGCTCTGTGACTCTGTGTGGCTCTGTGACTGTGTATGACTCTGTGACTGTGTGACTGTGTGTGTGACTCTGTGACTGTTTGTGGCTCTGTGACTGTGTGTGGCTGTGACTCTGGGTGGCCCTGTGACTGTGTGTGACTCTGTGACTGTGTGTGGCTCTGTGACTGTGTGTGACTCTGTGACTGTGTGTGGCTCTGTGTGGGTCTGTGACTGTGTGTTGCTCTTTGACTGTGTGTGACTCTGTGACTGTGTGTGGCTCTGTGTGGGTCTGTGACTGTGTGTTGCTCTTTGACTGTGTGTGCCTCTGTGACTGTGTGTGGCTCTGTGACTGTGTGTGGCTCTGTGACTGTGCATGGCTCTGTGACTGTGTGTGGCTCTGTGTGGCTCTGTGACCGTGTGTGACTCTGTGACTGTACGTGGCTCTGTGACTGTGTATGACTCGTGACTGTGTGTGGCTCTGTGATTGTGTGTGGCTCAGTGACTGTGTGTGACTGTGTGGCTCTGTGACCGTGTGTGACTCTGTGACTGTGTGACTCTGCAGGGCCCACGTACCTGATCTTTCAGTACTGCTGTAACGGGGACTTGCTGAACTACCTGAAGAACAACAGAGAGCTCTACCACAAGTCTCTGACCGACGCCTTCACCAGGGACCGCTTCAGCAGACTTTACCACAACCTGCCCAAGAGGAGCTCCAGGTTGGGGGGAGGGATGGGGTGAGGTTAGTGTAGGGGTGTCAAGGTTGAGTTTAATTCAGAAACGGAATTGTAGGCTACTCTCATGGTGAAGTAGGGGTATGATTGTGAGGGTTAATGTACTAATGTTGGTCTGTGTCCTTCTTAGTGAGTTCCAGAGGCCAGTGGACAGCATGTACGTCCCCATGTCCCCCACCACCAGAGGGCAAGAGAGCATCGCCCTGATCAGCCTCAACTCTTCTCCAATGAGCACCTCTGATGGTCAGTGTGGGGTAGACACACACATTCCCACATACACAAACACACACACACACACACAAATTAAGAAATAGGCTTGCTTACTTGTACAGCAGCACAGTTAAAAAACGTCTGTAGGATCTCTCCACTGCTGTCCAGTGGATCCCATTGATCCAGGTTGATCCCAGATGATCCCAGCTGATCCCTGTTGATCCCTGTTGATCCCAGCTGATCCCTGTTGATCCCAGCTGATCCGTGTTGATCCTTAGGTCCAGGGATCTATGAGGAGTTAGAGAAGCTGCAGGAGGAGGAGGAGGAGGAAGAGGAGGCGTTGACCTACAACGACCTGCTCAGCTTCTCCTATCAGGTGGCCAAGGGCATGGACTTCCTGTCCTCCAAGCACGTACGTGGAGCAACAACACTGCCCATTGCAAACGACACACTACACATAGCACCATATTAACTTCACCATGGCCCCTCAGAATTATACAAGCCTGTGCTCATGCAATACATCGTAATACTCCCTGTACCCTACATCATCACACCCTCTCTGTGTCCTGGGTGTGTGTATCTGTCTCCAGTGTATCCATCGGGACCTTGCGGCCAGGAACGTGTTGGTGACTCAGGGTGGACTAGTAAAGATCGGAGACTTTGGACTGGCCCGGGACATCGACAACGACTCCAACTACGTAGTGAGAGGAAATGTAAGGACTATACACAGGAGGGAGTGTTTGGGTCATCACTAGTTAGCAGTGCTTGACTTGGGCAGGAGCTCACCGGAGCTGAATAACGTCATCTTCAATTTTCTACTGCTTGAGCTCCTGTTCCGCTTGTAGAATATTAGCTCAAAAGTATTGTGGAGCTCCTGCACCTAAATATAAACTGAACCGGCACCCAAAATGAGTACCGTCACCTATTTCAGTCCAAGTCAAGCACTGCTAGTTACATTTACATTTTACATCATTTAGCAGACGCTCTTATCCAGAGCGACTTACAAATTGGTTACCACATACACCCTGCCTATTTCTACAATGGATCTTCTTAAAATGGGATTTTAAACCTAAACTTAACCACACTGCAAACCTTATGCCTGACTCTAACCTTAAATTAAGAAATAATCCTGATTTTTTACAATGGCCAATTTTGACTTTATGGCTGTGCTATATAGTGGAAACCGAGTGTTTGTCTGTATTCTACAAATTCTCTGTTGTGTCAGTGACAGATGTGTTCTAAGAATCCAGTGTCGGTGTGTGTGACTGATGTGTGTGTGTTGTGTTGCAGGTGCGTCTGCCAGTGAAATGGATGGCTCCAGAGAGTATCTTCCAGGGGATGTACACCATGCAGAGCGATGTCTGGGCCTATGGTATCCTGCTGTGGGAGGTCTTCTCTCTGGGTAGCCACATAAACATACCTACTCTTACTTTTTATTGTATTATAGGGTGTCTGGGTATGTTTGGGATGGGGGTGGGGTGGAATGGTTCAAAAAGCATACGTTTGTTCACAAAAGAATAAGCATATCCACTGAATACACACTGGTTGAATCAACGTTGTTTCCACATTGACGTCGAACCAACGTGGAATAGACGTTGGATTGACGTCTGTACCCAGTGGGTAAGTTCTTCACGCACACACTGTGTGAATTTGGTACTGGCCACTGATCCTGTATATTTCTTTCTTGTTTCTTGTGGGTTTTCTTTGTTATACTATTTTGATATTTATTTAATAATGCACTGTTGGGAAAGGCTTGCAAGTTAAGCATTTCACTGTACTTGTGCATGTGACAAATAAAACTTGAAGTATTCCCTGCATCTTTCTGACATAGTGCATGACATTGACACAGTATCTTAGCAACTTTCTATCCCAGTCTATACGTACAGTGCCTTCAGAAAGTATTCACTCCCCTTGACTTTTCCACATGTTGTTGTGTTACAGCCTGAATTTAAAATGGATTACATTGACATTTTGTGTCACTGTGGAATTATGTTTTTCAAAATTTTTACAAATTAATAAAAAATGAAAAGCTGAAATGTCTTGAGTCAATAAGTATTCAACCCCTTTGTTATGGCAAGCCTAAATAAGTTCAGGGGTAAACATTTATTTGCTTAACAAGTCACATAATAAGTTGCATGGACTCACTCTGTGTGCAATGATAGTGTTTAACATGATAATCTCTGTACCCCACACATACAATTATCTGTATGGAATACAGTCGAGCAGTGAATTTCAAACACAAATTCAACCACAAAGACCATGGAGGTTTTCCAACGGCTGGCAAAGAAGGGCACCTATTGGTAGATGGGTAAAAATTAAATTAAAGCAGACATTGAATAACCCTTTGAGCATAGTGAAGTTATTAATTACACTTTGGATGGTGTATCAATACACTCAGTCACTACAAAAATACAGGTGTCCTTCCTAACTCAGTTGCCGGAGAAGAAGGTCAAGGATTTCACAAGGCCAATGGTGACTTTAAAACAGTTACAGAGTTGAATGGCTGTGATAGGAGAAAACTGGGGATGGATCAACAACATTGTAGTTATTCCACAATACTAACCTAAATGACAGTGAAAAGAAGTTAGCCTGTACAGAATAAAAATATTCCAAAACATGCATCCTGTTTGTAATAAGGCACTAAAGTAAAACTGCAAGAAATATGGCAAAGCAATGAACTTTATGTCCTGAATACAGAGTGTTATGTTTGGGGCAAATCCAACACAACACATCACTGAGTACCACTCGCTGCCCAAGGTGCTTCTACAAAGTATTGACTCGGGGGTGTGAATACTTCTGTAAATGAGATATTTCTGTATTTCATTTTCAATTCGTTTGCAAAAATGTCTAAAAACATGTTTTCATTTTGTCATTATGGGGTATTGTGTGTAGATGGGTGAGAAATGTTTTTATTTAATCCATTTTGAATTCAGGCTGTAACACAATAAAATGTGGAATAAGTCAAGGGGTATGAATACTTTCTGAAGGCACTGTATATGTGATTTGCTCTCTCTCAGGTGTGACCCCCTACCCGGGGATAAAGGTGGACAACAACTTCTATGTGATGATAGAGAGAGGTTTTAAGATGGAGCAGCCATACTACGCCAGTGAATCTGTGTACGTATCCACAACCGCTCTGCACCTACATCTAGAACTTTACATCATACACATTTCATTACCATCAAATATAGGAACTGTAAAATTGGTTTTATCCCCCCTTCCTCCCTTCCTCCCTCCTGTAGGTATATGACCATGTGTAAGTGCTGGGCCTTGGAGCCTCAGGACCGCCCTCACTTCTCCAAGCTAGTGGCCTTCATGGACGACCAACTGGCCGACATGGAGGAGAAGGTGAGGCTCAAACAACACAACAAGCCTCAATGTAGACAAGCCTCAATGCACAGCATTCCATTAGAATCATGATTTCTTGTGATTTATGACTATGCCCCTTTCTCTCTTAGCTCTACCATAACATATTGGACAAGAGCTGCAATCATGCGTTATACCAGAATGCACCAGTGAAATATGATCTCTCAGCCTTGGCCAAAGAAAATAGTCTTCAAACACAGTCACAGAACCAATACTGCAAGACCCACTCCACTGGAGAGGCCCCAACAACAACAACAACAACAACAACACTGTCTGACATGGATGCCATGGAGACTGATGATGATGACAAACCTCTGAAACCACGTCAGTGAGTGCAGTGGCCTTCTATCTATCTTTCTAATATGTCTATTCCATACAGATCTCACGTATTATATCCTGGTAGTGTATGTTTGTATATTGCTTTGGATTTCAAATGCACTGATGACTTGCTTTATCCAAATATGTTTAACAATGAATACGTCAATTAAAACTATGTTTTTGTATCAAAGGCTCGCTCCATCACTGTAGGAATTGCTAAAGTCATATTTAACATTGTAACATAGTAATGAATGTAGCATTTAATACAACCTGTTTTTGTGAGCATATTATACACTGTGTGCAACTAATGCAATATTAATCGTGTTATTGCTTTTGGAGAAGAGATATTTCAATACTTTTGACAGCTGGATTATTCTTTTTTTTTTCTTAGTGTGAAGTTGCTTTATTTTTAACAATCTAATGATTTAGTTTTTCTGTATGTTTGTCCATCTGAGTTCTGGAAACTATTCATATATTTGAAATAAAGTACTTGAAATTATCACTGTTTTTGTGGCTTTTATAGTAGGTCTAATTTGTGACATTGGGAATGAATTGTGGTGTTTTATATTCAGAGGTGGAGGGAAAAGCAACGGCAAAAATTGCACGACAGGGACTAATAACAACTAAAATATATAGGTTATAGGTTAAGAACTTTTGTGAAAGAGCACAGTTTGAAATATATGGCAAATAGAAATCAAACCAGATGGACATCAGAAACAGATGGGAGAGGTTGAGGGTAGAGGAAGGACAGGAGTAAAAACAAACAAAATATAACTATTGTAAAATGTATATAGTATGTATAAGCTGGAAGTAGAGGCCTAAGCGGCAGGTAGCTTAGTGGTTAAGAGCGTTATGCCAGCAACCGAAAGGTCACTGGTTCTAATCCCCGAGCCGACTTAAGTTAAAAATCTGTCAATGTGCCCTTGAGCAAGGCACTTAACCCTAATTGCTCCTGTAAGTCACTCTGGATAAGAGCGTCTGCTAAATGACTAAAATGTAAGCATTGTTGTTCACTAGTTTACTCCAATTAGGGGAGTGGTGGTAGGGTTAGAAAGTAACAAAGGAAAATATATTTAAAAATAGGAATATGTATTTATATGAATGTATGTATATGTAGAGTTGAAGTCGGAACGTTTACATACACCTTAGCCAAATACATTTGAACTTAGTTTTTCACAATTCCTGACATTTAATCCTAGTAAAACTTCCCTGTCTTAGGTCAGTTAGGATCACCACTTTATTTTAAGAATGCGAAATGTCAGAATAATAGTAGAGAGAATGATTTATTTCAGCTTTTATTTATTTCATCACATTCCGAGTGGGTCAGAAGTTTACATACACTCAATTAGTATTTGGTAGCATTGCCTTTAAATTGTTTAACTTGGGTCAAACGTTTTGGGTAGCCTTCCACAAGCTTCCCACAATAAGTTGGGTGAATTTTGGACCCATTCCTCCTGACAGAGCTGGTGTAACGGAGTCAGGTTTGTAGGCCTCCTTGCTCGCACACGCTTTTTCAGTTCTGCCCACAAATTTTCTATAGGATTGAGGTCAGGGCTTTGTGATGGCCACCAATACCTTGTTGTCCTTAAGCCATTTTGCCACAACTTTGGAAGTATGCTTGGGGTCATTGTCCATTTGGAAGACCAATTTGCGACCAAGCTTTAACTTCCTGACTGATGTCTTGAGATGTTGCTTCAATATATCCACATCATTTTCCTTCCTCATGATGCCATCTATTTTGTGAAGTGCACCAGTCCCTCCTGCAGCAAAGCACCCCCACAGCATGATGCTGCCACCCCCGTGCTTCACGGTTGGGATGGTGTTCTTCGGCTTGCAAGCCTTCCCCTTTTTCCTCCAAACATAACGATGGTCATTATGGCCAAACAGTTCTATTTTTGTTTCATCAGACCAGAGGACATTTCTTCAAAAAGTACGATCTTTGTCCCTATGTGCAGTTGCAAACCGTAGCCTGGCTTTTTTATGCCGGTTTCGGAGCAGTGGCTTCTTCCTTGCTGAGCGGCCTTTCAGGTTATGTCGATATAGGACTTGTTTTACTGTGGATATAGATACTTTTGTACCTGTTTCCTCCAGCATCTTCACAAGGTCCTTTGCTGTTGTTCTGGGATGGATTTGCACTTTTCGCACGAAAGTATGTTCATCACTAGGAAACAGAACGCGTCTCCTTCCTGAGTGGTATGACGGCCGCGTGGTCCCATGGTGTTTATACTTGCGTACTTCAACTGTATGTATATATATATACTACCGGTCAAAAGTTTTAGAACACCTACTCATTCTAGGGTTTTTTCTTTATTTTTACTATTTTCTACATTGTAGAATAATAATGAAGACATCAAAACTATGAAATAACACATATGGAATCATGTAGTAACCAGAAAAGTGTTAAACAAATCAAAATATATTTATATTTGAGATTCTTCAAATAGCCACCCTTTGCCTTGACAACTTTGGACACTCTTGGCATTCTCTCAACCAGCTTCACCTGGAATGCTTTTCCAACGGTCTTGAAGGAGTTCCCACATATGCTGAGCACTTGTTGGCTGCTTTTCCTTCACTCTGCGGTCCGACTCATCCCAAACCATCTCAATTGGGTTGAGGTCGGGGGATTGTGGAGGCCAGGTCATCTGATGCAGCACTCCATCACTCTCCTTCTTGGTAAAATAGCCCTTACACAGCCTGGAGGTGTGTTGGGTCATTGTCCTGTTGAAAAACAAATGATAGTCCCACTAAGCCCAAACCAGATAGGATGGTGTATCGCTGCAGAATGCTGTGGTAGCCATGCTGGTTAAGTGTGCCTTGAATTCTAAATAAATCACAGACAGTGTCACCAGCAAAGCATCCCCACACCTTAACACCTCCTCCTCCGTGCTTTACGGTGGGAACTACACATGCGGAGATCATCCGTTCACCCACACCGCATCTCACAAAGACACGGCGGTTGGAACAAAAAATCTCAAATTTGGACTCCAGACCAAAGGACAACTTTCCACCGGTCTAATGTCCATTGCTCGTGTTTCTTGGCCCAAGCAAGTCTCTTCTTCTTATGGTGTCCTTTAGTAGTGGTTTCTTTGCAGCAATTCGACCATGAAGGCCTGATTCACACAGTCTCCTCTGAACAGTTGATGTTGAGATGTGTCTGTTACTTGAACTCTGTGAATCATTTATTTGGGCCGCAATTTCTGAGGCTGGTAACTCTACTGAACTTATCCTCTGCAGCAGAGGTAAGTCTGGGTCTTCCATTCCTGTGGCGGTCCTCATGAGAGCCAGTTTCATCATAGTGCTTGATGTTTTTTGCGACTGCACTTGAAGAAAATGTCAACGTTTTTGAAATTGTTCATATTGACTGACCTTCATGTCTTAAAGTAATGATGGACTGTCGTTTCTCTTTGCTTATTTGAGCTGTTTTTGCCATAATATGGACTTGGTCTTTTACCCCCCCACCACACACACCTTGTCACAACACACGTAATTGTCTCAAACGCATTAAGAAGGAAAGAAATTACACAAATTAACTTTTAAGAAGGCACACCTGTTGATTGAAATGCATTCCAGGTGACTACCTATTGAAGCTGGTTTAGAGAATGCCAAGAGTGTGCAATACTGTCATCTAGACAAAGGTTGGCTATTTGAAGATTCTCAAATATAACATATATTTTGATTTGTTGAAGGTTTTTTTGTTACTACATGATTCCATATGTGGTATTTATTTCATAGTTTTGATGTCTTCACTATTATTCTACAATGTAGAAAATAGTAAAAATAAAGAAAAACCCTTAAATGAGTTTGTGTTCTAAAACTTTTGACCGGTAGTGTATATATTATTTTTTTTGCAAAAAAATATATGGGGGATTGGAAGTGATGCAGACAATTACATTGATGGAATCTACAATCTGTCTACAATATTAAAGCTGTTCTAACCCCTAAATTTTTTTTTTTTAAACAATACAAATTACACGACAGGTGGCGCCAGAGCTACATTAGTCGCCAGAGCTACGCCTGCTGTTCCGGTGACCTGAGTCTCAATAGTGTCATTCACCTGGCTTCCATCAAATTAAAAGCTGTGAAATACAACAAACAGGCCAAGGTTCAGGTTGCATTATAGGCAGAGGTGGGTAGAGTAGCCAAAAATTGTACTCAAGTAAAAGTACTGTTACTTCAGAATAATATGACTCAAGTAAAAGTAAAAAGTAGTCATCCAAATAATTACTTGAGTAAGAGTAAAAAAGTACTTGGTGAAAAAACTACTCAAGTACTGAGTAACTGTTGAGTAACGTCTGATTTATTTTTTAACACAAGACAACTATCAGACAGACAAAAATACAAAATAATCATCTTTAATGAATTACAAAATACAAAATAGCTTAAATTAAACTAATTCAGGTAAATTCAAGTATACAATTTTTTAATAATAATAAATAAAAAATAAATAAGCACAAGTAACACACATTTCCAAACCTTTATACTTTTTTTACCAGGCAGAACTAGAACGAGGCAGCCCATAAACTCTCATAAACTGTGTGTGTGTCTCCACAGTGACAGAACAACAGAAGGAAACACACAAACGTTTCATACCAGGCATGCTGAACAGAAAACTGCACACCAGAAGGAAGCGGTCAACGTAAAATAATCAATAGGTGTTGATTAGGCCTACTCAGTACCTTTGTATTGCATGGCAAGCAACAGCCCTTTTTCTGTGTGCCTAGAAATGAATACTCTGATCTGTGATTAGGCCACACTGCACATCTCACTGAGCAGAGGAAAAGAGCAGCAGTACACATCAACTGAAAAAGCACCAGTCCATGATAGATGGCCAAATAAAACAATATTGCAGGCCTAGTATCCCAGAACACAAATTAAGCTGAATGCATGTTCTCTAAAAGGCATTAGAGGAGAGTGATGTAGTTGTAGATCGGGCATTATGTTTACTTCCAGTTCCAATATCTAACAAGAAAAGTCAGCAAAAAAAAGTCACACTAACTATATTGCCACCCTGTGGTTTGTCACTGACACACTATAATCCTAAATGACAGTAACATTATACAGAGTTATATAGGTCAATGTCTACTGGTTCACATTTGAATTGATAAACAAGTATATTTACCAGCATTTAAGATGTTCTCCTCTGTGGTCCAGGATGTTCTGAATCTTGGTAGGAGTATTGCTGCTGCAATCAGCTCAGGCTCTTTCATGACGTCTCCAAAACGTTTCTGGATCCCTTGCTGCAGGGCGTGAACAAGAGGTGTACACATTTTGCAAGTTGACTCCAACTTCTTCAGCTTGTCCCGCAACTGGTAAAGTGTTGGCAGCAGGAGGCCCATATGCACAGATGATTCCCCTTGGAGGATATTAAGGGCCATGGCAACAGGCTTCATCACAGCAGCATACTCGACCAAAAACCCATTTTCAGCTGGATTGAACCTATAAAAGATGTAACAATAAAACAATTACTTATAGCTATTTCTGGTACAATGTCTTTATTATGCATTGTACATGTTAAATACAAAAAATATATATATATATATTTCATTCAAGTCATCCACAATTGTCACACCACCATGCAAAGAAAACTTTGTTACTTGAGACAAGTGGATTCACCCATTAATCAGCAAAGCTTATTTACTTTTATTATTCTTTAAAAACAAAATATACATTTTGTCAACTTACATCTTTATCTTTAATGCTGTGCAGACATTGCGAATTGCTTGTTCTCCTTGCTCTCGGTGAATGCGCACAATCCTTTCTACAGCGAGGAACAGGGAGCTCCAGCGTGTCTGATTGGGTCGGAGAAACTGCAGCTTGCATTCACGTTCCACTGTTTCATGAGCCATGGTTGACCTGCTGGTTTTATTCCAAAGAGCATGACATTTTGCAAAAGCAGACCGAGACAGCCTCTTGTAGGTTTCGTTTGCAGCTCCTCCTGCAGCAGTGGCATCAACTGTGGATATAAGATTGAGGAGATGGCATGCACACTTTTGGTGCCTTGGAAGTTGGTACTCAAGGCCTGTGTTGTCATCCAGAATTGCAGACATCTTGATACTCCACCTCTGACTCACTCTGATCTTCTGTTGCATCATCAAGGGTGGAGTCACTCTCCTCTTGTACATTGATGGCTTCCTCCTCTTTCTCCTCACCATATAATCGAAAGGAAGTTTGAGCCACTGTCTGTTGTCGTCCTGGTCACTTTTTCCCTGATGTGGTACTCAGAATGTATTTCCTCTAATGCAGCAGCAAGGACATCAAACGTGTGCGAGCCTTTGACAGGTCTACAAGCCAATGTGGAGTGCCTCTCCAGTGAGGTGTTGTCTATCCAGTGACAGGTGACACCTAACTAGCTACGTTAGCAACATAGTTCACAGCACTCAGCTTTTTGATGATTATGCTCTTCTTGTGTTTTGCAGCTTCTTGTATTCTTGTGCATAACGTTTTCCTTGTCATTACTGTAGAGGTTGCAAGGTTTCTATCAAAGTATTGAAGGATGGCGTCTCAACCACAGAAAATGGTTGGTTGGCCTCACATACAAAATTTAGCATCAGCTTGTCAAGCATTGCTTGTGTTACCCGCCCTGGGGCAGCAAAGGCTGTGATTTTTGCATTTTTCACAAGAGTATCACTGAAAGAGGAGGACTTACGCTCTCTGTGGTTCTCTAGTAAGTCTGTGTACTTTGCCAGTTTGTTGGGGTGAATCCTCTGTGGACAAAAAAAAAAATGTGAGGCTACAGGGAGATCAAGACATTAAAAGAGAATTATTATCACATCAAATGTGGATATATATATATATATATATATATATATAGAAAATGTTTAAAACATATGTAACCTAAAAGACAAACATTCGCCTATCCACAGCAAAAAAAAACGAATTTAGGAAACGTACCGCTACATGTTTCCTCAAGTTAGATGTTGAGTTCTTGAATGCTGAAATGTCCGTTTGTTTTGGTAGACACAGAACACACCGCATAATGTAGCTGTTCTTTCGCACTTTTACTAAGGTAAACATGCTTTCAATATGAGTCCAGGGTGCGGGTGTTCCTCCTCGTCTGTGTCTGCATTGCCGACGGCTAATTCTGACATTTTTGTGTTGCTATGACTGTAAAGCCAACCCGTCCCGCCGCTGAGATTGAGTATGGTAAAGTGACGAGACTGCACAACTACGTTTGATTGGTGAAAAACAGTCACGTGGTAGAGCCTTAGCGGAAGTCTCTCTCTCTCTGTCAAAATAAAACATTCAAATAAGGCATATGCGGGAGGATAAAGACAATGACGCGTAGAATACCAAAGAGGTAAAAAGAAAAGTAACGACCTCATTGTAGCCTAATGTAGCGGAGTAAGAGTACAGTTTCTTCTTCACAAATCTACTCAAGTAAAAGTAAAAAGTATAGTGATTTAAAACTACTCCTAGAAGTATAATTTTTTCAAAAACTTACTCAAGTAAATGTAACGGAGTAAATGTAACTCGTTACTACCCACCTCTGATTATAGGCTAGTAAGACTTCAAAGCTGTGCATAAAAGGGCATGAGGGGTTATAGCGCCTTGTTGTCCCTGAGTTCAATAACCCTACAGTATTGGCGTGCTGGGCTTTTCTGTTGACCTGTCCGAAGGGCAGTTTTGGGGCCGCTGCTAGTGAGTCAGACGAGACATAAGATTTTAATATGGACATCGGATCAGTGAATTCTCTTCCTTACGAGGACTTTGTGGATGTTTTCGGTAACGTGGTGGAGAAATGTCCACTCATAACGGCCGCGGTATGGTCCCGCCGTCCATTCTCGAGCCTTGCTGACCTGGAGGCCAGTATAAACGACTTCATCGATGCCCTCCCCGAATCAGGTATAGCCAAGGATGAATGGATAGCCTTTATGGCGGTTTTTGTTCTTTCTTTAAAATTTAAAATGATATTTTTAATTTTTACATTCAGCTGGTGAGATATTCTTCAACTATAAGGCTTTTGAACGTGTGTGTGAAATATATTTTACTAAATGCTATTCTATTAATCAATGAATATTGAATTTGAGATTATAGTTTTTCCAGCATCGGACGGCTACCTAAACTCCACTATCCACAGGTAAAGAGGGAATCCTCAGAGTTCACCCCGACCTCGCGGGCAGGGACCTCCAAAGTGGGACTCTGACCCGGGAGTCGCGAGAGGAACAGGGCCAGGCCGGTTTGGACACGCTGACCACCGCCGAGGTCTCGCGCATGACCCGGCTGAATACGGAATACAAGGATCACTTCGGGTTCCCCTTCGTGATCTGCGCGCGGAAGAACAACAAGGCGACCATCTTGCGGCAGCTAGAGGAGCGGCTCCGGAACGAGCGCACCATAGAGAGGGCGTGCGCCATCGATGAAGTGAAGAAGATATGTCACCTCCGTCTGCAGCGGCTCGTGGTCCCAGAGATGTCCAACAAGCTATGACTGACTGACGTGATGACATACGGTTTCGTGTGGTCTACCTGCTGAGTTGAATGTGTTTGAATAATGGATGCGTTATTGTTGTGCGTAAAGGAGTAACACTGCCTAAATGTGCTTAATTTTACCAAGTGCCAAAATTGAGCACAAGTAATTAAATAACTGCAGATGGTTCATTGATTTTATTCTGATTTCAAACATTAACTTTAATTTGATAAGTCAGAAATTATAGCTTAATAAAGATTTCAAAAAACAGTACATTCTTCACTGTGCCTATCATTTAGACATCAACGATATGATAAAATAAGGTACATATAAAGGCTATATAACTGGTGTGAGTGACTCATTTTTGTCATATAACAATTTATCAGAAAATTCATCAGTATTGTTAATATTGACAGCAGAACCATGTCCCGTGCGTAGACTGCATACATAAATTATTATTGGTTGTATACTGCCAAAATGTTCAGAGAACATTTTGAAATCTGAAGTGCATTGGTTTTAAAGCACTCGAAGTTTACACCAAAAGTAGCTCTCACCAGAGTTGTGTGGTCTGTATCACCGCTGTCTTCCAAGCTGCTGGTGCTGCTGCCCAGAGACCAGAGCAGTAGTATACAGTGGGTCTATATGTATGTCCAATGCAAAGTGTCATCATCAGTGCATGCCCCTCAGATCCTCAGCACCAACATGAGGTCAGTTCAGTCGCAGAATGATGACATCACAGACAATGCACCTGCAGTCCTCTCCTTTCACCTCTCTTCAATCTGTCACGGACATTAATGATGCCAGCAGAGTCTGTTTGAATAAGTGCCTCCCCTTTCCTCAGTGTCTGCCCAGTTTTCATCCAAATCAGCCCGGCTAGGCTGAGTCTCTAGAACCTGACAGGGAGTGGGAGTGTAGGGGCGAGGGGGGTGTGGTGGTGATGAGAGGTACCGGTGTGGGAGTCCCTGCCCCCCCGACCCCCATCCCTGTCCCCCCGACCACCAGCCCAGCCCCCCCGCCCCCCAACCCTGCCTCATCCTTCAGGTCTCCTGACGTAATGGACGAGTCCTGCTCGGGGTTGACCCCCCTCACCCTCTTCTTGTCCTCCTCCTTCTTCCACTTCATCCGTCGGTTCTGGAACCAGATCTTGATGTGTCTCTCTGTGAGGCTGAGGGTGATGGCCAGCTCTACACGTCGCGGCCTGCTAATGTACTTGTTGAACAGGAACTCCTTCTCCAGCTCCAGGAGCTGGGCTCGCGTGTAGGCAGTCCTTGTCCGCTTGTTCTCCTCTGCCTCCATGTAGTGGCCTGGGGGGAGGATGGGGAGGGAGGGGAGGGGAGGGAGTGGAGATAGAGAAAGAGTGGGAGGGGAGAGAGAGAGGGAAGGGGTGGAGGGGGTGAAGAGGCAGAGAACGAGCGGGAGGGGAGAGAGGGAAGGGGGGGTGAAGAGGCAGAGAAAGAGCGGGAGCGGGAGGGAGAGATGGGAAGGGGGGGTGAAGAGGCAGCGAACGAGCCGGGAGGGGCGAGAGGGAAGGGGGGGTGATGAAGAGGCAGGAAACGAGCGGGAGGGGAGAGAGGGAAGGGGGGGTGAAAGAGGCCAGAGAACGAGCGGGAGGGGAGAGAGTGGGAAGGGGGGGTGAAGCGGCAGAGAACACGGAGGGGGAGGAAGGGGGGGTGAAGGGCAGAGAACGGCGGGGGGAGAGAGGGAAAGGGGGGGGTGGAAGAGGACAGAGAAAGAGAGGGGGGAGGGGAGAGAGGGACGAGGGGGGGTGAAGAGGCAGAGAAAGAGCGGGAGGGGAGAGAGGGAAGGGGGGGTGAAGAGGCAGAGAACGAGCGGGAGGGGAGAGAGGGAAGGGGGGGGTGAAGAGGCAGAGAAAGAGCGGGAGGGGAGAGAGGGAAGGGGGGGTGAAGAGGTTAGAATGGAGTATTCCGTTTTGTGGCACAGTGATGAAGGCACAGTGATGAAGGCACAGTGATGCCGAAACGTTGGTGTTTTTTTTACCCAATAAATGACTGGGAGGTTATACATATGGAGTGTGTGACTCTTTGTTTATATAACTCAAGATTAACTAAACATTGTATCCTGCCACAGTCAAAGTCCCAAAGGCACAATCTGGATGAAACTGGCAATGACCCACCAGTGGGTTCTGACCCATCGGGTCTAGCTGAAACCCACACTGCACACTGACTGAACGCAGCTCACCCACTGACCACCCAAGAACATCTACTGTATAGAAACAGTTGGGTAACTGATGATTACTAAAACACATACAGTAGGCTACATCAGATGACAGGTAAGCTCTCACAGCTGTCAGTGCAACTATAGCAACAGATACTGTATACTGACTATGGAAAATTACTATGTGAGGTATCATGTATTCTGTGCAGAACAATTCTGCATGGGTCACAGCACACTGAATTTCACATTACTGCAGATTCTATAACAAAGACTCATAAATGGATCAATCAATTGGAGGGAAAATGGGTAGGCCTTTTAAACAAAAAAAATAAAGAATCACAACATTTCGATTACTGTGGGTTTTGTTAGTTGACAAAAGCGTACAATAGCTAAAAATCTTGGGGTTTAAAATCTAATTTATTTTTACATGATAGGCTATTATTCTATAGTAATTTCACCTGAAAAGTTTCACTAACTTGGACTGTTCAATAAAACACACATCCTGGAACAGCAAGGCAATTTAGAGACAGTCCATTTATTTAATGTAATCACCTTTATAAAAAAAATGAAGGTAGGCCTACATGATAAAAGAACAGCCATAGTTTTTCCTGTATTACCACTACAATTCATTTGTGTTTTGAATTATGAAATTAGCAGCTCAATTGTTAAACTTTCGTTCAGATATATTGGTGAAGGGGGTCGTTGATATCAAAAGAAATAAGCATTTAAAATCTATTCTATTCAATAGTTGAACTGTTTAATTCTTAGTTTTAGAGTAAGCTCATTCTTGCCCTGGTTGCGTTTGTCCGTTGAGGAAAATATTTGTACTAAAATAAACTTTTATCGAAATTAGTTAACAAAAAGTGTATCGTTTGTAAAGTTACACGATTTTCTTAAGCCACGGGAATAAACAATAAAAGCACATATAGCCTAATGAAGTAATATTTAACACATTTGTATCCTAATTGTCTTATTAATTACAAACAATATTTTTTTTATTATCTTTGAGGAAGGTTGAGTTGAGAGAATAATTGTCTATAGGCCTACGCAATAATTGAGAAGAACCGATTATTCTTGAGACTTAGGCCTATCAACTTTTCCACTTGTTGTTACCATCAATTTATTTAAGTAACATCAGTGCTTGACTTGGACTGAAATAGGTGCCGGTACTCATTTTGGGTGCCGGTACTGTTTATATTTAGGTGCAGGAGCTCCACAATACTTTTTAGTTAATATTGTATAAGAGGAACAGGAGCTCAAGCAGTAGAAAATTGAAAGTCCTGGTACTCAGCTCCGGTGAGCTCCTGCCCAAGTCAAGCACTGAGTAACATACATTACTTGATATTTCGTTTAATTGAAACCAATGCAAGAGCTGTGTATGTGGTCAGAAAACGTATTCAATTATTTTAGACTAGAGAAAAAAGGCCCAATCCAGTTCCCATTTACCCGCTGTACCGAGTTGACTTAAAATGGCCGCAACAGAAAATACTTTTAGGAGGAAGAGTTGACGCGTTATTTTTCTACGATTCCTAAAGACTCCACCTTAATGATATACCCTTTAATATATTTGATATGTCTAAAAAATATTGATATAATTAAGGTTTTTGTAAGACACTAATATACACTACGCAGCATTTTTCATGAAGGCCTATATGGACAATAACTGCCATTAGGAAATCATTAACAAAGAAATTGTCACAACTGAAATGTTCACATATTTGAAGTAAATCACAACTTGGTACTTGAGACCGGAGACACACCTTCAGAGGCATACAAAACAGTGGCCTGTATGAGTGAACCTAGGTCCTTTCCAGATTGATTGACAAGGTAAACTGACACCCACTCACGACATATATTGTAGACATCATGATGTCATTGAAGTTCGTATACTTGCACAAAAGCCTCGGTCTATTCAAACTTCATGATTAACGTCTGATCATTTTCTAGGCCTATATTCACAGCAGTGGCATTAGCCTACACATAAAGCAGCAATAATTAATGCTCCATACACAACAGTTGATTGTGTGAGTTAAATAGCTTTTGAATTACACTCAATGTTCAGTTTTATTTCTGTTGAATTCCCTATGGTCAAATAACATTCACTCAATGGCTATTGGCAAAAGAAAACTCCTGAATGTTCAATTAACTATTACATAAATACTTTTGTTGAAATATTGTCTTTTAATCAAATAGATTATCCACTTGTAGGCTATTTGTACAGTATGAAAGTGTGTTCAAACGAATCTATTTAGATAGGCCTACTGTAAAAGAAAAGTCTGCAAAATTCCTATAAATGTGTGCGTAGATTCCTTGAGAGGCCTAGATGAATTCCTTTCTTTGCAGCCCTACAGCAACGAGAAATATGCGAAAATTGCAAAGGTGACTGCAGTGAGTTACCTGCCCACTGTCCCTTCCAGGTTTGCACGTGAGACTTGGTGCTTTTCATCCAGGGGAAAGGCAGGTGGTATCTGTTCCTATCCGCACACAGAGCCTGCTCCCCCGGGTCTCCGTAACCCCCCTGTTGGAGAGTCTGCTGGGGCGCCTGGGGGTGGTGGAGCTGCGGCACACCTGGGTCCTCTCGCATGGGCATACTGTACGGAGCAATGTCAGGGAGACTCGCTTGGTCTAGCCCTCCGATGGAAGGCGATGAGCAGACGGACTGAGCCTGCCGGCCCATGTAGAGGCAGGGCGGAGGGCTGTGGCTGAAGTCCTCGCTGTGGGGTCTCTGGTAGGCGCAGGAGTCTTTGAACAGCTGCGCCGGGGAATAGTAGTGCTCTTCTCGATTCATGACTGCTGAGGGCCAGGGCTATCCAACGGGTGTGTGAGCACACATGTACCTGTGCCCTATAGTCTACGCAGCGTGGAACCTTGTGCTCTGCTCTACCTGTGCTGCTCGTGCGTCTGGCGCCGGTATAGGCCCTGCGCAGGTGTGTCACCGCCACCACGTGACCCTGCTGCACCTAAGCCATTGGTTTCACTGATTACACAAAACGGAGAAGTTGTCACCTTAGTTTCTATTCGTGTCTGTATTCTCTGCCCCGCGGTGCGAAAATAATTAAACAGAATTGACCGTACGCAAATCAATGCCCTCGGCAAACACTCCACTGTTTGACGGCGGATATCTGAGACCCACCTGCGGCAGGTTGGTCCTAATGCAGCGATATACAGGTGAGCGGCGGAATCTGCGGGTCCTATCTCTGAGCGCGGACAGGGGCTAATGCCATCGAGCTAATCAGAGAGATTGCGGCCTGCAGAGAACAAGCACGGAGAGAAACGCAAACAGAACGTGCCTTCAGAATGTCAGTATCATCACGGCTTTGGCTCTCTTGGTGGAAAAGAAGAAGAAACGGTGGGAATGCAGTGCGCTCGTGAAGCCTGTATGCAGATTTCACTGTGGTCGAACAATGTCAGCCATTGAACATTTATATGAACGTAGTTCTCTTATCAATAGGCGACTGATAGAGGGGGAAATCAATAACCACATGTATAGGCCTAATAGCCTACTCGCATCGGCTGACCCTTGTGATAAGCAACTTGCGGCGGCGGTTGTCTTGGAAACTTGGCAATGAGATGTGAGGGGGATCAAAGACCAAGTCCTGGCGGAACCCTCTCCTGGTTGGATACCTTCTAGTGTTCTCTTAAAAGTGGGCAAACTTGCGACTTTTTAAATCTAGCCCATTATAACCAATGGCTCATTTAACACCATTTAACTGATCTCCTCTGGTTCATAACAAACAGCAGCAGAGCTCGTGTCTCCCACCGCCACTCTTCCTCTGTGTTTGCTGGACATTAGGCAGACAGGTGCTCGCTCCATTAAACAACACTCTTCATGGTAAAGTAAAGAGGAGAGCCAGGGTGTAAACCAATTACCATGGAGTGAGGAACAGCACTCAATTAGCGCGCGTGGTGAAAGGAAATACACCTCTCTCCAGGCCCGTGAGCACTTTTACGCAGCAACTGAGGGCCAGGCAGCAGCAAAGGCCCACGACTTATTAAAATATAAATGTATTACCATGTTATAACTGTAATGTTATAAAGCACTAGCATTTATTTCAGCTGGCCTTGCAGGCAATCAATAATAACCATTAGCCTACATGAGATAAGAAATAATACAAATATATAATGTTTAGGTTGTTTTTCTCTTTTGGGAATTGTGTTACAGAGGCTTTATCTGCATTTTAGACATCACAGTTGACCTTCATTCTTCTTCTGCTTCAATAGCCAGTCAAACGCACACAGAAACGAATAGGTCTATGGCAGCACTGAGTTCTTCAAGAGCGAATATGGCACTTTCTCCAGTATCTTAATGGGGCACTCAGCACCTGCTATAAAGTTCAAGTAAACCAATTCCATACAAATCAGTCCATGTAATGTCGCTTAATGGTGTTTATATTTGCTCGTCGTTTGAAAGAGGAAGGAAACTGTTAACCGCGTCTATTCCCCCACTACACAACGGAGTTTATGAAGCGTGACTGCGTAAAACGCTATTTAGACCCCTTATCCATGGCATTGAAATTTGCGTAATGGTTTTAAGTGAAAGGTAATGCGGCGTTGCTGAACCCAAATGCACTGATTCACAAACAGGTTTGCAATTAAAAAGCCTTTAAGGACTCTTGATATGGACCGCAATAAAATGGCTGTAGGCAATCGAGAGGGGCCATAGCCGTATATAGTGCAGCACAGGTTATGGACCCGATGGGTTAGAAACACCAGATGGAACGGAGTGCTGTGGGGAGAGATAGTTATAACGCTTGAAACACCAGATGGAACGGAGTGCTGTGGGGAGCGATACTATAATGCTTGACTGAATGGCCATGCTGTTGCCTCATATAGTCCCTGGGTTGCCCCTTGAGCGCCTAGCGAGCAACATTTTAAATTAATTCAAGCTTAAATTAAATTGCTCAAACAAGGTATTTCTCAATTCATGGAAATTGTCAATCCCATACAAATAATGAAAGTAATAAGCCTAATTAGTATTGCCTAACAACCCATCAACAATGATAACAATGATGATGGAGGGCTGCTGACCACTGAATGCACGTTTTTAAACCTGCTCTTTTAAGATTGCTTATGCACTTTGCACTGTTTTAACTTCCATTCATTGTTATGCTTTGTGTGTTGTTGTGTCTATTGTGTAACTAACTAAATGTATGCTGCTCTCTTGGCCAGGGCTCACTTGAAAATGAGATGTAAATCTCAATGTGACATCTCTGGTTAAATGAAATATATATATATATATATATATATATATATATATATATATATATATATATATATATATATATATACCGTACCAGTCAAAAGTTTGGACACACACCTACTCATTCAAGGCTTTTTATCGTGTCTCCTACTTTTTAAAACGGCTTTGTTTGTGAACATAAAGAATATCTACGTTGTTTCGTGACACTCCTCGGTTCTGTAAAACCTGTTCTTTCCATTGCACTTGGTTTTTTCTCGAATCCAATATCCATAAATATTTACTTCCATAATTCGCTCTTTTAATTACATAGAAATAGGATGATACAACAACAACAACAACAACAACAAACAACAACAATATTGTATTCTTATTAGGCCATCATGGTTGTTATTAATTTGGAAATTATATATACTAGTGTGTGTGTGTCTGTATATATATGTGTGTGTGTGTCTGTATATATATGTGTGTGTGAGTTGTGTGTGTCTGTATATATAAGATATATGTGTGTGTGTGTGTGTGGTGTGTTGTCTGTTTTTGTGTGTGTTGTCTGTATATATTATGTGTTGTGTGGTGTGTCTTGTATTATATATGTGTGTGTGGTGTGTGTCTGTAATATTATATATATATATATATATATATATATATATATATATATATATGTGTGTGTGTGTGTATATATATGTGTATGTATGTATATATATAAATATATATATATATATATATATATATATATATATATACAGTGGGGAGAACAAGTATTTGATACTCTGCCGATTTTGCAGGTTTTCCTACTTACAAAGCATGTAGAGGTCTGTAATTGTTATCATAGGTACACTTCAACTGTGAGAGACAGACTCTAAAACAAAAATCCAGAAAATCACATTGTATGATTTTAAAGTAATTAATTTGCATTTTATTGCATGACATAAGTATTTGATACATCAGAAAAACAGAACTTAATATTTGGTACAGAAACCTTTGTTTGCAATTACAGAGATCATACATTTCCTGTAGGTCTTGACCAGGTTTGCACACACTGCAGCAGGGATTTTGGCCCACTCCTCCATACAGACCTTCTCCAGATCCTTCAGGTTTCGGGGCTGTCGCTGGGCAATACGGACTTTCAGCTTCCTCCAAAGATTTTCTATTGGGTTCAGGTCTGGAGACTGGCTAGGCCACTCCAGGACCTTGAGATGCTTCTTACAGAGCCACTCCTTAGCTGCCCTGGCTGTGTGTTTCGGGTCGTTGTCATACTGGAAGACCCAGCCACGACCCATCTTCAATGGTCATGCTCTACAACATTCGGAGAGTACGACCCTGTCTTACACAGGAAGCGGCACAGGTCCTAATCCAGGCACTTGTCATCTCCCGTCTGGATTACTGCAACTCGCTGTTGGCTGGGCTCCCTGCCTGTGCCATTAAACCCCTACAACTCATCCAGAATGCCGCAGCCCGTCTGGTGTTCAACCTTCTCAAGTTCTCTCACGTCACCCCGCTCCTCCGCACACTCCACTGGCTTCCAGTTGAAGCTCGCATCTGCTACAAGACCATGGTGCTTGCCTACGGAGCTGTGAGGGGAACGGCACCTCCGTACCTTCAGGCTCTGATCAGTCCCTACACCCAAACGAGGTCATTGCTTTCATCCACCTCTGGCCTGCTGGCCCCCCTACCTCTGCGGAAGCACAGTTCCCGCTCAGCCCAGTCAAAACTGTTCGCTGCTCTGGCACCCCAAAGGTGGAACAAGCTCCCTCACGACGCCAGGACAGCGGAGTCACTCACCACCTTCCGGAGACACTTGAAACCCCACCTCTTTAAGGAATACCTGGGATAGGATAAAGTAATCCTTCTACCCCCCCTTACCCCCCCCAACAAAAAAAAATACATATTGTAAAGTGGTTATCCCACTGGCTATAAGGTGAATGCACCAATTTGTAAGTTGCTCTGGATAAGAGCGTCTGCTAAATTATGTAAATGTAAATGTCTTACTGAGGGAAGGAGGTTGTTGGCCAAGATCTCGCGATACATAGCCCCATCCATCCTCCCCTCAATACGGTGCAGTCGTCCTGTCCCCTTTGCAGAAAAGCATCCCCAAAGAATGATGTTTCCACCTCCATGCTTCGCGGTTGGGATGGTGTTCTTGGGGTTGTACTCATCCTTCTTCTTCCTCCAAACACGGCGAGTGGAGTTTAGACCAAAAAGCTCTATTTTTGTCTCATCAGACCACATGACCTTCTCCCATTCCTCCTCTGGATCATCCAGATGGTCATTGGCAAACTTCAGACGGGCCTGGACATGCGCTGGCTTGAGCAGGGGGACCTTGCGTGCGCTGCAGGATTTTAATCCATGACGGCGTAGTGTGTTACTAATGGTTTTCTTTGAGACTGTGGTCCCAGCTCTCTTCAGGTCATTGACCAGGTCCTGCCATGTAGTTCTGGGCTGATCCCTCACCTTCCTCATGATCATTGATGCCCCACGAGGTGAGATCTTGCATGGAGCCCCAGACCGAGGGTGATTGACCGTCATCTTGAACTTCTTCCATTTTCTAATAATTGCACCAACAGTTGTTGCCTTCTCACCAAGCTGCTTGCCTATTGTCCTGTAGCCCATCCCAGCCTTGTGCAGGTCTACAATTTTATCCCTGATATCCTTACACAGCTCTCTGGTCTTGGCCATTGTGGAGAGGTTGGAGTCTGTTTGATTGAGTGTGTGGACAGGTGTCTTTTATACAGGTAACGAGTTCAAACAGGTGCAGTTAATACAGGTAATGAGTGGAGAACAGGAGGGCTTCTTAAAGAAAAACTAACAGGTCTGTGAGAGCCGGAATTCTTACTGGTTGTTAGGTGATCAAATACTTATGTCATGCAATAAAATGCAAATGAATTACTTAAAAATCATACAATGTGATTTTCTGGATTTTTGTTTTAG